CCCGATTCCAGCGAAAAATAAGGTCACTATTTGTAATTTTAGAATTTTGAATATATTTGTGCGTTGAAGTTTTAGTAGCAATTTGGTTAAGCTTTGGGGGTGGAGTTGCCAGCACCACGCCCCAACCCTCCCTCTTTATCCGGGCTTGGGACCGGCTAGAATACTAGTGACCTAGTAATCTAGGCGAGGTTATTCTATCATATACGATATAGTATTCTTCATATATGAAATAACCGGTTAACTATCGTCCGTTGCAAACAGTGTCTTCGTATTCTATATAACCAACATCAAATATTTTCAAGTTTTAAGAACTCACTTACTTTTTACTAACTTGAATTTATGGTGGGGAATGGGAAGAGGTGAATTCATTTAGACTGTATATTAAGATGTGTAGAAGTTATTCCGCGACGAGAGTTCTCAACAAATTTATTGTCAAGCCGTGAAATCGCATACGTGTGAGTTATTTGAAATAATAATGTGAACTGCAACGAAATATTTGCGTGTATTATCATATTCGAACGCCAACCAACATTGCAGATTGTTACTTATAAAAAAATTCGTGGAGTGTGTAAATCTTAGAAAATGGTGTAGAATTAATCAGACTAGTAAGCAGAATAGTAGGTAACAATGTGAGAATTTTGATAACATTAAACTAGATAAATTGAAAGTGACAAGTGAGATAACAGCGGACATTGTGCGAAGTGGAAATAGTAATAATAAGCAAAGTAATAAGGGATAGATTTACATATCGAATACACAAAACGAGAAATAAGTGGGATAGGTTGAAACAGGGACTGTCATAGTTTAACATAGACGAATTAAGACCATGAACTGTTTAATAAATTGCATAACCTATTCTGTTGTGATTCAAATAACGCTTATATATATATATATATATATATATATATATATATATAGCAATCACTGGTGTTTTTGTTGCCATGAATCGAATGTGTTTGGTATGATGTTTTCATTCCTTATTATCTGACATGTTTTGGAAGGGCTCGTAGGCCTTCATTTAATCTCCCTGTCAATTTTCGTTCATTGTCTTCAATATTGTAAAGTTTCCGTAGCAGTGCTGTCGTCTTCACAAGATGAGGTTACTGTCTTCACGCTCAATTTTCCTTCTTTTCCAAATTTACTTGTTGGCTGGTAAACTAGGTGTCTGGGGGTCGAATTTTGACTTCTCTTGTGGTGGCCGACCACACCTCCATTTAACTATAAACGCACAATATTGACTAATTAAGGTTTCTAAATGTGTTGCATTGTTTGATGTTTAAAAGCTTCCAGATTCAGCTACGCATTATTTCTATAATATGAGGCATAAATAGTTGGACCTCTAGGATTCTTAGGGATAACAGCAGTCCTAATAACAATAACAAGCAACTAGGAGAAATATTACAATAAGTGGGGTTTTTGAGAGAAAATTCCAGTGGGGAAATCGCCTCTAGTACTTATTCAGCTAGTAGGTTGTTTTTAGCCTTTCTGATTAGATTACTTGACAAAAAAGTGTGCTAATGAAAACTATTTACTTTTAAATTTTTTTTTTTTCATTCCTACCAGCGTCTTCGTTACGAGCACTTATATATATATATATATATATATATATATATTAAAGACATGACATATTGAAGTGACATCCATAGGGAATCTGCATGAACCGACCGGCTAACATTTTTATCTCGGGATACGCATGATCTGAGAGGGAGTTCTTATGGTTCTTTTTTCATTTCATTTCAAAAACTTACATCACTGATTGTTTAGACGAACTTTAGTTTTTGAAAAAATTCCTGGCTAGAATAGATACCCAGAGAACAACAAAACTAAAACTTCACGTAAACATGAAGTAGAAGAGGAACTTTGTGGCAGATATCCATTGAAGAATTCTTAATTCTTTAAGGAAAAATTTGCAGCGACCTACCCCTATCCGATTGCATCTCTTGTGCAGCTAAATATATAAGTTGTTCTTCAAAACAAAATAGAAAACTTTACAGAGCTTGGTTTCTATTTTTTTAAATTTTTTTATTTACAGCTTGATTCCACACCGTATTTTCAGTACAAGTGTGGAATTTTCAGCATGAGGTGCAACACTGTTTCTACAAGTAGTACTTTAGTCGAGCACCTCACGGAAACTTTTTATGTAATCTTAACAGACTCACTATTCAAAATCACAAAGGAAAAGGAAGTCTGCCTAAGAAAGTTTGCCTCGAAGTCCTTTACACTGCAGGTTCCTTTGCATGCAGGAGATAGGATTATGTTCACTTCATGTTCTTTCAAGCTATATATCTAAAATGGACTCAGTTTTGTTTCAGTCTTTCCCCTCACATTTCATTGCGTGACTTCCATCATCACATCTTGTTTTCAAAGACTACTTCTATATCGTGCCACCTAATTTCTGGCATATCAGGTCATACATCAATGCTTTTATTCAACACAAGTACAGAAAGAATGAGCGACATGACTTCACTTGATGAATGAACTAGTGACTCACCACTTCTTATCGACGTATATTAGAGCAGAAGGCTCACATTTTAACTAGGTCAAGTCAGGCCACAAGATGCGGATGTTTTATTGAAATGCTTATATCTCGAAATATATATAGTAAGTCAGACAGGAAGATACTCGCATGTTACTCTGGGAGTCCAACCAGGGTGAGTCGCTATAACTGTATTCAGATAAATATTCATACTTCACTATCATAAATTTCACATATAAATTGAAATGTTCTTCAATCACATTAACTTAGAGACTAGTTTATTTAGTAAGTCCTTCTGTCATCCAGTGTTAGTGGATGATTACCACTTCTTTTGAACTTTAAAGATATACGTAAACCATGCTTTGGTTAGAAGGCATGCATGCTTGTGAGAAAATGGGAAATATATATGAAGAGAGCACTTAGAGAGGTGATTAAACAGCTGGGAAAACATGAGTATGCGACATTTCCTGATCATACCTGCTTTTGATAAAAACTATTTCTACTATTGCACGACTATATGCGTAATCCTTTATTGTTCCTGATTTCCATTGCTTTCTTAATTAATATTAATCTCTTATTCCTATCAAGTTGAAAATTACTATCTTGAACGGTAACCGTAGTTTCTATGACGAATTAAATAATAACTGTAGCTGTGTCAACGTATGTGTGCTAATTGCGATTGTACATTTATTGAAAATGAAATCATTGAAAAAAATTGCTAAACTTCTTGTTTTGTCTCTGATTTCCTGGTGAATCTTCTAATATCAAATGGGATGATAAACGATCACCTCCAGTCTGACGTAACTACCCTGGATTTCTTTAGCGTAGCTAATATCTTAATTAACAGTAATTCATCACCAGCGTCCTTAAAAATCTTTGGAGAGCGATACCCACTTTTTTACTTTGCTTTAGACCGGTTTGTTTTTTTCAACCTCAGCCATAATTACAGGACTACTATCCAAAACGCATTCGAGTAGTTTTCGGACCAACCTATCTCAAAAACAGTTGACTTTACTAAAAGCCTCATATAGCCTTATATTTCTTGATATTATTGAAATGTTTATTATGCAGTTTCAATTGAAATAAAGTTTGAGTGACACCCGTTTAATGTAACACCACTAGTCTGGTTGTTTGTGAACTGTGTTGTTAAACACAACCTTTACATTCAACAGCAGGAAGTATTCCAAAGTTGCTTCTTTGTGTTTCAGTTAATCAGTTCAGAATTTTTGTGGGTCAAGTGGAATTTACCTAAACAATCTAAATTCTCACACATGGCTCAGACCGATACTTCATGGACCAGCTGTCGTTTCCATAAACCGTTTCAAGTATGTGAACTGCTAGTTTTAGGTTTAAAGTACTACTCCAAACCAGAAAGAAAACTCATTAGGAAGTAATATTACTGCGTAGTGGTTTAAGTTGACTAATTTGCACTGAATTAGTCACCCACTTTTTGTTTTTTTCACTCGCAGCATCTAGGAACCTTACTCTAGTTTCCATAAAGCAGCAGGTTATGGTGAACAATGGTTAAACATGTATGATATGTTTTAACCACCTCAAAAATAGGTATTTATAACGTCGGTTGACATATCAATTTTATCTACGACTGTATTCTTCGTTTTCTATATTGTTCACATCGTGGTTTCGCAAAACATTAGCAATTCCGTGCGGCCCTAGCGACCATACGGTGGTATAAAGTGGAGTGTTGTGCAGTGCAGTTGACAGTCAGTGTTTAGTGGGGCTTTTTGTCTAAAACGAAATGTTCATATCAGTGTTGAAATTCTGTCACCTAACAACTATCAAGAGTTCCTAAGAATTCTCATGTAAGTTGAGTAGTTGATGCCGTCCCCTAACTCAATTTCTGGCCAGACGATGTCAGAATGTTAGTAATATCTATTTACACATCTCTGTGTCTTTGAAAACACTTTATCCTATCGTCGTTAATAATAAGCACAATATAACTCACTGTATTCATTGTTCTCATAGCCCATTTTATCTTTCTTCTCTTTGTTTGCAAGTGCCTTCAACTCTTATTGTACAGAAAGAATATTCAAAATGTCTTCCAATATCGTATTAGCCGCTTGTTAAGAAAATGCATTTAAAATTCAGAATTCGTTTTCTCATATCAGTACTGCTTCTTTTGACGATTTTGTTTTCAATAACATGGAAATTCTCAGGATTTCCAAACCAATATATATCAAGAATGAGTTTATTTGAGGCGAAGTTCGGAAACTTGAAACCAACTTTGATAAATACTAAAGGATACGAATGTCACTCACATGACATAGAAGTTTTTCAACCTCGAATGACTACATATCATAAAGATGACCATCAGCTGAATTCTTGTGTAGACTGTAAGAATTCTGTGGTGGTTTTCACATTTTCGAAAAGTTCACCTACGAACAGATACTTAGCTTATATCCTGAAAGTTCTATTGATTCCGTATCACGTCATTACTATTAATCACGTACAAACAAACAGTATTTCAGCCTTCTTGAAAGTGCTTTCACATACTGAGCGTATTACTATGATAATTTTTGAGAACTTTGCTATTTACACTAATTTACCACAAGGAGAAAGATCTCAGGTTGATATTTTCTGCAGAAAGCACAATGTTGGAGTTATTGGATTTTTATTCGATGGTGAAACCTTCACAACTGAAGCCGGCACATGGTCTAAGGTGAGCTAATTCACTTATTTTCTTCTGGATGTAAGTTTTTGTTTGAACCATAACTTTATTGCCACAAATTGTTTGAAACTGTATATGGATTTATGCTCGACATATAAAGCTATAAATTCCGTATGCTAGTGGATAAAATGATATTCCACATATGCGGTGTTTGATTGGTTTTTTTTTTACAATAATATGTTGGTGTTCATGAGATAATTGCATCTAATTGCTTATTAAGAAAACTAAAAGCTGGTAAGTATTCATAAGTAGAATTTACTGTCTTTAAACATTCAGTCTACTTATGAACTGAGATATATGTTTAAGAAATGAAAATGGTTAAAACATGTTACATGTTTAAGTTCATTTGGTAAAAGTGATCTAAAAACTACTTGAAATAGAAGAGTCAAACCTAAAAGTGTTGATGGTCGATCTCCCCTGTAAAACTACAATTCTGTATACCGATCACAGTAGTTATTTACTTTGTTATTTGGTTTCCTACCCAAGACCATTATCCTCAACCTTCTTTTACCTTGACTATGCAGCATTAATATACAAGTGTGAATACTAAAATATTTGATTCCTAATTTTGGAATGCTTATTGTATCTTGAACACCCATGAAGCTGGCCAAATCAAAACCAATTCAGAGAAACTCATCATTCGTCAAAATAAATCACAATCTCCTGAAGTATGGTAGGAGTACAAAAAGCGCTAGGTCTGATGGAGAAAATTTGTAGCTCAAGTGGATGGTTTTGATGTGGGTGCCTATTGTGAGCTGGGTGCTTTAATTGTGAAAACTTTATAGTCTTTCTAGACAACATCTTCATCTCAAACTTCAGTATGACGTGGGAACATTTTTCGTTGGTGAATAAGGTTTTACGATAAGTACATATTCACACCTGTGCGGAAATAAGGAGAAAAATAACTGTCGACAGGCATTTGCAACTGTTTTTTATACACAGTTGTTGGAATTTTAGAAGTGAAGCTTCCCTTGTGTGGTTTCTGAGTTCTTTCCAGCTAAGTGAGAATTACAGTTACACTGTTTATAAACGTTCATATAACTCGATATATTAATACGTGAATTATCTCATAAGCTCTATAACATTTATAGATATCAAATTCATATTCAATTTTATGGAATTGTGACTATCCAAAAGAATTCGAACAATGTCCTGTGGTAGATTTTTCAAGAATTTCCAATGTAAATGTTGACATTTTTCTATGCTTTAGAATGCTTCATGTTTTGTGCACATAAAATTAAGTAGCCCATACTAGTTACCTTTTAGTTACCAAAACCTGAAGATTTTAAGTAGTAAAGTAGCGCTAGTAAATAGTAAGGAATGTAGTGTATTAAAGAATATAAATATGCGAGTTCTACTAACTGAGTATATTGAGAAGTTGTAGTGATGATATCATCGGATTCATTAGCTTATTTTCCTTCTTGGTTGGTTTAATTCTCTCATTTCCTAACCCACTTTCGCTTCGTCTTCAGATTTTAGTATGGTGTATCTTTGAGTGCCTACAATGTAGAACGCTTGTAATTTCAACGGATAAGTGAAATAATAAGATAGGAAAGAAAAAGAGGTAGGACAAGAAGTAGGTGTTTATGGAAACCTGGTAGCTGATATGGGAGAGAAGAATAGCGAAACATATGAACCAATGTAAAGATCAACCGCTAAAAGAGAAGGTGAGCACTGTACAAAGAAGTGGAGAAAAGTGCCGAGAAAGAAAAAATAGGATTTTACGACACACTGACAACTGAAGTGAGACAGACCGCAGGTGAGAGAGACCTCACAACACTGCATCAAGTAACCAGGTCGCTATGTGGGAAGAGATAAATACAGATAAAGCTAGTGAAAGATACGGAAGAAAAGTCAGGCATCAAAGAGTAGAAATAGAGCAAACGCTGAGCCGATCACTTTAAAGGACTCTTGAATCGACCATCATCTAGAACTGGTCTAGAAATATCACTACTAGCTGACACAGAACTACGAGTGAACACTTATTCTCCGATCAAAGCATAAGTCTTAAGGGCTATAAGCTTACTAAGAGCTGGCCAGGAAGAGGTGGAGTCATATAGGCAGGCAGTCGAGTGAAACGCGAATGGGAAGAGACGAGTTGGACATCTAATGGTGACACTCAGGAGGTCATATGAAAAGGAAATGAATGGCTGAGTCATAATAATAATAATAACAATGATAAAGTCTTCTTGTGTCTAAACATGGGCTGGTTAATTCTACCAATTTATGCAGGCGTCTTTTATGTGTTACATCTAGCCTTGCTTTTAAATTCTGGTGTATTTTCAGATGGACTTATATTCATGAAGCAAAATAAGTTCACCACTAATATCCCAAACATACATACTTACACACATACTTTTAGCAGTGCATTCACCCAACATTTTGTGGAAGTACAATATGAAGTGAATGTCTTAAGATGCATCAATGTGAACAACAAACAATTTATCACAAGTGTGCTTAAATGTGCTGAAACAGTAGCGTATTACATTATTTTGAGCATAATTAGTGTCTAGCTTTCTGTTGAACAAGTCGATTTAATTTCATCTTGTACTTGCTATTTCACTCTAATTATGACATGAGATCTGAAGCTGATGTCAAATTATACATTATTTAGGAAGAGTAAATTATGCCAAGTTTTCTTTGTTGGAAGTCATATTCATGAATAACTGTTCTCTTTTAACTGCAAGGTTGGAGATCTACCACTCTACATCCATCGACTTGAAAAGCCTCCTCAGGGGCTTTATACATCAAAGAGTTCACCACTGTTCAGGATTACACGTCCCAACCGGATGAATCCCGACATACTTGATATTCAGGAACAAATTTATGGCACGCAAAACATAACACGCACTCAACATGTTTGTTGTATGGCAACGTTGGTTCCTGTTTCAAATAATGTGCATTCATACAGAACTATTGCATTTACCAAAACTGGTGAATATTTTGGACCTATGTCAAATTATGACTCATTACCGGTTAATATGAAAAGTTGTGAGGTGAGTTAACTTTTATAATAACAAATGCAGTGGATAATGTGGAATATTTATCTAATACCTCTCAATTGTAATTCATTTTACTTGCACATAATTGGGTGAAACGTGAAAAATAAATCTTCGGGAAACAAATAATAAGCCTATTTTATTCTTTGTAGTCAAGTAGGATTCCATTGACTATTTACTTCTTTGAAGTCTGTTTAGTGTAATTGTAACAGTTCACAGTACTTACTTTACTTTACTTCGGCTATCTCCTACGGGAGGATGAGCCGGCTTCATGAACATCTCGAATCATCGCTGCCCAGGCGCAGCGATCTGATGCAAGGTTTCGCGACAGGGTTTTCCAATTCTTGTTTCACAAACGGAGTCCGTAGACGGTTTGTAGCCCCAGGCACTCCATATCAGCCTTGACTGTACCAAGCCATGTTTTTAGCGGTCCACCCCTGCGACATCGCCAAGATGGTAATGGCGAGGGATTTAGAACTGATTTGACCAGATCGTCATCTGGTCGGCGCAGAACATGGCCAAACCACGGAAGGCGACGTTGTAAGAGAGTTCATGAAGTTTCATGGGAATTTGGTACGAGTGATGTCCCTAGAATCGCTCGGCCTTTTGTTTGAGAGTGCAGCTCTAGCCTTTACACAACCAAGTGTGACCTACAAGGCAGTAGGAGTGGAGTAGGGAGTCCACTATCCATTGGCAGCCGGTGACCGGAGTTCGGTTCATACGCCTTTTTGAATGGGGCCAGACATCCAGGACATCCAACAAGCCCTTTGTCCATACGTCTGTCGGTGAGCTCCAGTGAGCTTCATACGCCAGTCGTTAGAGGTTTGGAATCAGGGTTTAGCCATCTCCCCTAGACTGTCATCCAATGGACAGTCAACCCGGTGAAGAGCGCCGGGCATCCGCTTTCGCCCTCTCACTTTGGTGAAAAACACCTCCGCCACGTGAAGGCAGTGAGTAGGACTTCCTCAGGAGAGGCTATGTAAGACGCCTGGTCATATGGGAGCATTTCAAGAGGTGTGCGGAGGGGTGGCCAACCCGCAGCGCAAGGCACCCACCCTCGACCATCCTGAGGCTTTGGAGGCCCAGTGCTTCTGCATCGGTAACCTCCAGCCTGAAATCGTTATAATGTTCTGCAGCACTTACAAATTCGTATTGCACAGTCACATGTGTTTTAGATTCTGTTCTTAAAGAATGCTTCGATGTGAGTGGTCTTGCCCTACGCCTGTGAAACATAATCTCTTCGAGCTAAGGATGTGCGGCCGCTTTGCATATTCTATCCTCGCACCGTTTTTCTACTTTTGTATGAAATATGGAGTGTGGCAAGTTGAGCTGCTACATTTCTGTATGGAGTTCTACGTTGAAACTCAGTCAGTTTGACAGTTGTATTTTTCAGGTTACAAATAAACTGTATTGCTTTACTCATGCCTTTTCTCACTCGATAAACATGTTACTGTTAACTAGAGAATATCATGACAAGAATCACATCTAACCTAAGAGAAAAGTCGATTAAGCACTAAGTGAGTATCAAATAATGAGGACTGTAGTCTACTTGCAAAGAAATGTTCGGAGTAATGAAATCCAGATGTAGACGTAAGAATTGTTAAGTGTGTCCCTTATTGTTCAATTTCATTACGGACTGTATAGATCATTTTTCCGAAAGCTGGCAGAAACCCTACTCAAATTTCTTGAGTTTCATGATCCCTCATTCTAATTAAGTGTAGGATAACTAAGAGATCCGGAGTCTAGTCGCTTTTCAGTTTTAACGAAAGATTTCCCTTGCTACTGATAATATTGCGTTTTTAGAGTAGACAAAAAGCATCGTGCCTTAGCTTATTTCCAATCAGTCGGATTGATTTCTTTTGGATTTTATCGTCAAATACATTAAACACCAGCTACCCTTACTGTTGCATCCCCATTTCTGGGACATTTTCACATTTAGCGACTATTGTGAAAGCGTTACACTGATGCCTCAGTTACTTTATGTCCTAATAGTGGTTCAGTCTGGAGATTATTTCACCTTGCTTCCATAGTGTCCCACTCCTTGTTTCAGTTATATACCCATATATGTGATCCAAGACAGTTCCCTTGGATTGGTGAAGATCATTGATCTTCCCAGTTTACGTAAAAGGAAAAAAATCGGCCGGTGACAAAAGCAGGTGGATCAGGTTAACTGGCATTCTAGGTTTTTGCGAAAAATCAGAGGGGTGCAGAATAGAAGTAACCTAAGAACATCAAGACGGCCTATTGGCATGGCCGTATCTTCACCTGTCAACAGCTTCTAATGTTGTCTTTCCAGGTGATGACGTTGACAAGATGCATATGCCTATGTACCCACATACGTATGCATGCATAATGATGGATGCATTTACGACCTAAGCGAAACTCTGTATTATCTTCGCGAAACCATTTCTCACAAGTTTTATCAAACCTGTGGAACAAAATTGTAGCTAATGCATTAGATGCAACTGGTTAGAGACAAATAACGTGATGACTGTCACATCCATTACGTTGGCCCTTTTTTGAAGATATGCACTGTGATGGGATACTGTCACTAGAGTTTCATCTTCGTCTTTCTTAATAGTCAAGGATTATTTGTCTAAAACAAGTTTTTAATACTACTTAAGTACTTGAAGTTCCTTTCAGACTCCCCTGTGTTAGGTGACGTTAGTTGACGACGGTGTATTGTACTCTATAATAACTAATATTAGAACTGTCTGCCATCTGAAATGTTTCTCAAAGTGTCCTGTGCAGCTTTCTACTTTATCAGTGATCGTCAGCCAGTGTAACATCTTCCTCACAGACACCATCTCACTGACATCATTCTTCTTACTACTAGTGGCTTGTATAAGCCGGGACAAATTATGACTATCGCCAAATACAGCTGCTGATTCCACCTCACATTCACATTTTGACCAAAAGGCTTCTAGACCCTTAACTAAACACCGTTTGATATCATGCGCAATAGTCCTACACACATTAACATACACACTATCTGCAGGAATCGACCTACAGTTTTATATTCAACTTCAGTAGTGAACACAACCAATTTACTTGCATCAGTCCTTTAGAATGACATTTATAATTACTACCAAATCACAAGATAAAGGTGACTCACACTTAAACATAACTGGAATCCAGAGAAGTGCTCCAGAAGGTAATTGATATAGATGTGTTCTGTTTAAGTTCATGCTTGAGTGGCAGAGGTAGGACGCCAGGTGGCACTGTAGAGATGGTTATCGTGGGAGTTGGTTCTGTTTAGAAATCGGTTGTAATCTGTCCAAATCCACAGAGGATGCTCCCCATTATCTAATGTGTAGCCATCTAGTGCTTATGGATTACCTAAACAACTCTCCTTTGAGCTTAGATTCCTGACCTTTGCACTGGGTTCCCCAGCTAAAACTTTGTCAAGCGAGCCTTTTTGAGAAGAGGCATAGCCAAAAGTAACGAAGGCTTATCTGGTCGGTTGATTCCTACCCTGATATAACCTTCCAGCGTAATAACACATAAACGACTTTTAATGGAGATCAATTCAATTAATTATGTTGCAGCTCTTATGTTTAATCGACGGCAGTACCAGCTAATCTGGACGCCGATGTCTCAGGGAACCCAGATAAGCGCACATGAAGCATTCTATGCTGATCTGTAAGTGCATGAGGTACTAACTCTAAGCCGTTCACTGGAATTTTTTATGCGAGTCCCCATTTAGGCTTTTCTGGTTCTCTAGATAGATCTGACTGTTCTTGTATTTACATTAGTGTGCAAATATTGTAGGTTCCAATGTTTAATGTGACACGCCTTGTCACAATAACCTCATTAGAAATCGCATTTGAGGCCAGTTTTCTGTAGGCAAGTAACTAGCAACTCAAAGTGTTTCGGGGAGACTGAAATCCAAGTCAATAACGAACGGCCGACGAACATGAAGATAAAGAAAAACGTAAAAATAGAAATAAAGAGAAATAGTTTATGTAAAAATTTTAATGGTGTTAGATGAAATCACTGGATATTCAATTTTTGGATTGATTTGCAAGAACATACAGGTGGGTTGAATTTTTCGCTTGCTTGCTGTTTCATATTTTGTATGAAGGCTGAGTTATTACCCGATTGAACAGAGCTAAGCAGATGGTTATCTTCAGGAACGACTCCCCAGCCTTTAACCTGAGCTGTAATACATCAAGCAGCATTGAAACGTCAGGATCTGTGTTCTTATGATATCTAATATTTTAAGTTGGCTGGTACGCTATTCTTTTCTTTCGGGTCGTGGGTTTCACATAGACTATAGGTTTGCAATCAGGGTGTTCCAACTTCTCTATGGTAACCTTCCATGTTCACTGCTCTGGTTTTTACTGACGTGTAACCTTGTTTACCCTTTCAATTTTTTAAGAGCAAGCCCCTACTGTATGAAGGACCTACGTGGTAGAGATTGGGAGTGTGCCGATACACAATGGCATTTGGTGGGAAGACTGCAGTCGATCCATTCCCGGCTGCACCCGCTCATTTATGATGGCTATTGAAAACCCACGTACTACGTTGTGTGAATTTTATATTATCGCGAGACTACTCAGACTAAAGTCACTTTCCATGCATGTGCCGACTAAGAATGTCAGAAATTTATCCATAATTTATAGAAATCAAACACTCCGTTGTGCAGTATTACAGATGGCTCCAAGGTAATAAGCATTTAGGAGTCAGTACGACAGTCTTCAGAGTTGGAAGAGGAAAATCATCTCAGATTATTATTCAAGAAGATCACAAAACAAATAACCATAAAGCCTATTAGGGACCATACTACAGTAATGAAGTAAGTCGATAGCCAAATTCGCCTTTATGCACCATACTATGGAGCGGTGATCGACACTTAAGGTTGACATGTGGTGTAATCTTGTTCGTGGTTCTATAAGTATTCACACTGACTTCAGTTAGGTAAACAACTGTTTTATGATACTTCTTTTATCATAATAGTTAATACAAGGCTCTCCATCCATTTTGGTAGGCATAAGTCTACCTTACTTTGCATTACTGAGTTGTCTAGTATTTCCCATTCCCTAAATCTGTGATAATTAATCTTTTCATGTATAAATTATATCATTGTCTTTTTGTATGAATAATTTTCAGAATTCCTCTACGGTGTCTGACAATAGTACGCATTCAATTTTCCAGAGCTTAGTCTTGGAAGATGTTGGTTTGTTTGATGGGATTCGACGTGTTCTATTTGCTTTCCGTCCTGGAGGTATTTGGATCTCATCGTTGCTGCTACTTGACACCATTGTTTACCTATCAAATGGGAGTTTTCATGCTTCACCACCGTCATCTTATCCTTTCACTTCTGAGTTTAAAGAAATCGTGTCAAAAATGAACCAGTCAGCAGGTATGTTTGGGTGTCCATCCTTTTTAATCCTCATATACTCGCTGTGTTTTTAACAGTGTATAGTTTCTCCTGTTTAATTTGTCATTACTGGTAGATTAACTTTGAGTTTGAAATGCCTTCATAGTCGCCTTTTATTTAAATTCATTAGGCTAGGAATAAATGATCACCTTGTCTCTAACTATAAATTTATCATGGTAATACTGGCTAGTCAGGAATAGCTATAGCTACAGTTAAAATCCATAGTCATTCACTTCTGTGCAACGAAGAATTTTGTTTTCAGTAAACAGGGTCCTGCTGGATAATCAAACAAATAAATAGTTTCAACGTGTTTGTGGGTATCCATTGTGTGGCACATCTTGATAATGAGATATATCATATCTTGCCTTTATCATTCGAAAGATCACATCTGACTGACTTTCCCTTTGTTTTCCATTCCTTATTGTTGTATCATCATAGCTTTATTATGCTGTACACGATTTGTTTTTTTGAGTAACCAGTACTGTCACACCTTATCAAGTACTGCAGTAGCCTTAAAATTAACTTAAAATAATCACAGGTTTATGCAAACGACTTTTTTTTTAGTGAGAACAAGCTGATTGTGATTGTGACAATCAATCAAATCCCTACAAACCAATACTTGAATATCAATAAGATGCTCACTAGTGACTGGCCTTATTCAGGTAGGTAATTACCTGGGGTTCTTGTGGGAGTTAGTGATCAGTAGGATACAGCAAGTCAAGCGTGAGGACAAATACTCGCCGAAGACATTGGCTAGTGATCGCGCCATGTCGTGAATTGGCAGGAGTTGGAATTAATGGACTGGCCATTGAATCGGATCCCAGTGGCTTAATGGTCTACGAGCTAGCTCGCCTTGTAACCAGAAGGTCCTGGGTTCGAAACATGTTGCAGTGGTGTGTGCATACTGCCGAAGAGTCCCAAACTAGTGGGATGAAGCAGCTGTCCAATACTCCCAGCTGGTTTTCCAATGGTTCTCAAATTGATGTCAGCTCATGATGAAATCCCATAACCAATCAATCAAATCCCTTCAAGCCAATACTTGAATAGTCTTTTATTTATTCGATATTTTTGATTGCATAGCGATGCTAGCACTCATAAAGCAAATTTTTATAATGACATGATTACCCTTAACTTGTCTTTCGTACAGCTTGTCTAAGTGATGCTTAACCCCATTGTATTCACTGCTCACTCATATATTTATTTAACCTTTTTGCATAGAAATAGGCTTTTTAAGATAGAAGTTTCCTTTGCAAAACTGACTACTTGCGTTTAGTTTATCTGCACTTTTCTTAGGGCTTCTATGGTTAATCACCAAATTAGTAGAAGTAGACTGAATAGTTCCTTTTCAAGTCCTAAAATCAGAGAAATAATTTAAACGTCGTAATTTTATTTTAATGACTACTTATCACGGACAATTGTGTTATTTCTTATCCTTAAATCCTAGCGCCAAATGAAATCGATCTACTCAGATGGGTACTAGTTGATGTGGACGATGTATTTGTGCCCAATCGGCATGTTTATCTTACGATCGATGATATAAATGTGAGTCTGAGTTTTCTAATTAAATATTCGTCGAGACAATTTGGAGTATTTCTCCCTAATTAAGCATTAAAAGTGATAAACGCATTGTTAACTCACTATTTATTTATAACATCTCGAAGGCATTACTTGGATATCCAATTTTCATAAGAAGTATGTTGTTGTTAGCGTGGTTTTACTTAGTTTAGTGTTTCTATACAGCCGTTAAAGTAACGATTTAGCACATAGTCATACGGCATAGAATGAATTCTGTGGTAAAGATCACTATTATCAATATAAAGAATTTTGACATGGTATCGTGAATTTTGTGTCTTCCTTACCTCAAAACTCACGTGACTACTTGGGTACATAAAATTATCGACCACTTTTCACAGTGTCTCTGGGGGGGGGGTGAGTGCCAGTCATGCAACAATATTTTGCTCTTGGACTGTCTAGAGACACTGCTGTACCTATTAACACCGACCATCATTTGACTGAATGCGATTTGAGTAGCCTATATAATATTGTTGCATAGTGAGATGATAACATCTCACGGTATCTGATACAACACGTTCAACCACTTGATTCCCTATCTTAAAACTGAGAGTCGGTACTGAGCAGTTCTGCAACATTTGAGAGAAATGAATTGCATGTCATGTATGGTTTCTGCTCAAAGTGTTGAGAAGACCGCATTTTTTCAATGTCTTCACCTAGGAGGATAGTATTATCTGCATACTCTATGTTAATTGGAGTGTACTATGGTAACAGTTCGACCCCTAAGTCTCTAAAGGCAGTTAAGACTGACTGATTGGTTTCAAAGTAGAACGTTGCACTGATGTGCGGCGGTTTGAGTTGCCACACTCCATGTTGCACACAAAGCAAGAGAAGAGAGTAAAGCGAGAGAAATAATAAACGGAAATGTGAGACAAAAAGAATAGTAATATGGAAGAACAATATAGTTTTGTTAAATATTATAAATCACAAAGAGTGAATGCATCTGCGCTGTGATTGAGAACGATTTTGAGCCATATCACCAACTGTCTCCAGCCATCGCTTTTTTTACCATGCCGAGGACCCCAAGGCAGTTGAGATTCTATTCATTATTATAACTGTGATGAAATTAATCAAAAAATGGAGACAATGAGTTCGTGTTGAGTGTCTTAATTTGTGTGATGAACAGTCTTGGCATTCTCTTCACTACCAGACATTTCCATAGCATCCATCTGTGGATGTATTCAAATATCAACTTCAGGTAAAAACATATGACAAATTTCGCACGCTGTTAAGTGTGTCTATGTTCCGGAATCAGTCAAAAAGTAAATGGTGTATACATAAGTGTTCCTGAAGGAGCGGTAGTCTTCTACAGACCCCATCGATAGCTTACAGCCAAGTGATATGCTTCACCCCGTCGTTGATGTGATGATAAAGGTAGCCGATTAAGGCAGTGACCCCTCTTATATTCGAAGTTAGTGCTGATGAGGAACAGACTGTTATCTCAACAGAACTGTAAATCATGATTGCCGTTCATCAGCGCGGGAATTCATTAGTGCTACCAATATACTTTATGACTAGGACACCTATACCTGAGCATTGAATTCGCCTGTAAAATGACTATATCTGAGCGTTTTGCTATCGGTAACAAAACAAGATAGATTTTGATAAAACATCCTTCACTTCATCCAAACTGCAGTGGAAAAATCATCGACAGGTATCTCAGTTTTGTCTTCTATTAAGGGTTGCTTCTAGCTGGACAGCACACTTACGACTATTCACTGGGATCCAGCTAGGGTTAGGGTTTTTCTGTCTTTAATGTTATTCTTACACGTGAGGTCCTCGTGAACTAGCCAAACAATCTTCCGATACCCGTAAGGTGAGTTTTGTAGGTTCACCATGTTGGCCAAGTGAGCGTTAGGTGAATAACAAAGCTGGCGTCTTGTACGCCTGTCTTTAAAACAAAAAACATCCATGTCTCTTGACAGAAGATATCTGGTTAGTGATATATTTTGTTTGATTTGGTGCAAGGGCTTTGAAGTTGAATGTTTTAATATGAAGTCTGCAGCGTGGTTTTAAGAGAGTAAAAGTAGTGGTCTTCTGGCCAGGGTCTCTGAGTTAAGAGAAGGTTAGCGGCCTGTGTGTGGAATGGTATAAACAGTAGATAAAACCAAGAAAAAGATGAAAGTGACTGAGGTGAGGGCAGACGACAATCAATAAAGGTTTATGTGCCTATATAAATGTGTAGACGAGTTACTTCTCAGCTATTCACACCTTGGAAGTTGATTTCTTCCTGAAGTACTTGAGTTAAAAGGAGCATCAGTGTTGCGTGACTGCAAATGCCAGTAGATAACCGCATTAGACGAGTCACACACGGCTTGTTTGCGTTAGTGTTTGGAGTTGTGTACGTATTAAAATCTTGCCACCGGCTACGGAACGTCTCAAGTTATAGCGGAATGTACAGTTTTTGGAGTCAGTTTTTTCCCCCTATTCCCCAGAGTCGAAAGGCAGCATAACTAAATAGCTTGCAGGTCATCTGATGGAAACACGTTGCTGCTGCTGGATTCAACATAGAACTTGGCACCGAAGTGCAGCAGTTCGAGTTGACACGTTCCAAATAGCACACAAAGGTAGACAGGAAAATGAGAGAAGAGAATCAACAGAATTTAGATAAGTATAAGAGTGAAACAGAATGAGTAATGGTAGAAAGGAATATGAAAGATTACAGAGACTGAATACATCTGCGCCATTGACAACGATTTTGAGCCATGTCACCTATTGTCTCCAGCCATTGATTCTTAGAGTCCCGAGGGCCCCAACCCGGAAGTCTGCATCTCCCTACCTGACTCAGTTTAACTGTCAAGGATTTCATGGATTGATGCCATGTTTTTGTTTGGCCACCACTTACTCTTTTCCAACCTGCACCTATATCGGCTAGTAATGCCCGCCGTGGGAGACGATGGTTAGGCATGCACAGCACGTGACCTAACCATCTCAATCTATGTAACTTCATAGCCTCTTCGAGTGATTTTCCCTCTCTGCCCAACACTCTACGCCTAACGTCAACATTACTTACCTTATTATACCACCTAACGCGAGAAAGTGATCGTAGACATCTGTGGTCAAAAACAGACAATCTCTTCATGTCTTCCGCTCTCAATGGCCACGTCTCACCGCCATAGAGAAGGACGGAGCGAACTGCTGAGCAGTACACACGTCCCTTGGTTGACAGCCGGATGTCACGCCTACGCCAGAGACGGTGTAAGTTAGCGAAAGCAGCCCGAGCTTTCTGGATCCGTGCTGTGATTTCGTCACCAATCAATCCGTTGGTGCTGATACAACTTCCCAAATAGGTGAAGTGGTCAACATGTTCTATCACTTCACTCCCTATCACTAAGCTAGGAGTTGACGTAGTCCAGTCCTGTAGCAGCATCTTACATTTCACAGAGGCGAATCGCAAGCCAAACATACGAAGATTGCTGCTCAAGGTGTTCAGAAGACTCTGCATTTTGTCAGCGTCCTCCCCTAACAGGATTATGTCATCTGCATATTCTAAGTCCATAAGACGATTCCCTGGTAACAAGTCGATTCCTAAGTCGTTAAGTTCAGTTAAGGATACTTCCATTGGCATATCTATGATGAAGTTAAACAGAAAAGGGGAAAGTGGACATCCTTGATGGACACCACTGGTTGTTATCAATTCAGATGACAATTCCCCATAAGCCCTTACACGACTACGTGAGTTTGAGTAGAGTGCCTTGATTAGTGCAATGTACTTTCTTGGCACTCCCTTCACAGTCAAACATTGCCATAGTACCTTTCGATCCAGGGAGTCGAAGGCAATTGTTGGACGCTGAAAAGTGTGTCTATGTTCTAGGATCTGTCGGAGAGTGAAGATATGATCTATGCACCCTCTACCTGGCCTAAAGCCTGCTTGATTTTCCCTCGTTTGTTCCTCCCGAGTTCGGCTTAGTCTGTGCATGATTACTGAGCCTAGGATTTTAGAAACTATGTTCGTTAGGCTGATCCCCCTATGATTATCACATGAGGACTTGTCTCCCTTCTTGAATATCGGCATAATAAGTGGCTTACCCCAATCTGATGGAACCGTCTCTGATTCTCAGACGTTACGTAGTACCTTAGTTAATCTGCATATTAGTATGTCACCCCCATATTTAAACACCTCCGGAATAATTCCGTCGGGTCCTGCCGCTTTGCCTCGTTTCAAATTACAGATTGCTTTGGTGACCTCACTTACAGACGGCGGGCCAGTGTCTATATCCCACTCGGGTGTGTGCTGGATGGCGGAGAGGTTCAGTGTGGCTGTAGGCAAGTTAAATTGTTCCTCAAAGTGTTCTTTCCAGCGTTCAAGGCGTCTATCCTGAGAGCTAATTAAGGAGCCATTTTTCTCAGAAATAGTCTCACTTATGATTTGCCTTCTCCCACCCGTTTCCCTGATGAGTCTAAAGAGTTGCCTAGTGTTGCCTATAGCCGGTGCTTTTTCCATCTCTTTCGCCTTTGTCAAACACCACTGTTCACGGTCCTTGCGGAGACTTTTCGTAAGTTTCCTTTTGTGCAGCTTTCGCTCCTCATTGAATTCGGAGCTCGCCGGAATAAGTCTTCTAGCATCTATCAGTTCGGATGAGGCAGTCGAAATCCAATGGTTTTTACTCACCTTTGGATTTACCTTATTCACAGCTTTTACAGCTGTATCTATGGCTGACTGAATATTCTTCCAGGCTTCTTCAGGGTGAGCACAGCTGTCGAACTCAGATATGTGTTTAGCTAGTTCTTCCTCAAATAGGGACTTAGTTTCCTGATCGAGCTGGGGACGTGATGGGTGTACCGCTAGTTGTTTCCTACGTCCGTTCAGTCGTAAGCACACACGAGCGCGGGCCAGTGCGTGATCGGTATCTACACACGTGTTCCAGAAGGAGCGACAATCCCCTACCGACCCACTCCAACGATAGCTTATTGCTATGTGGTCTATTTGTGTCCAGCGTTGGTTTGATGATGGAGGTCGCCAGGTCAAACAGTGTCTCTCCTTGTGTTTGAAGTTAGTGCTTACAAGAAACAAATGATTATCTGAACAGAACTGTGGGAGACGGTCACCGTTGTCTGTTCGCTGGCACGGAATTCCGTATGTGCCACCGACATTCTTCTCAGATTTACACAATTTCCCTACTTGAGCATTAAAGTCACCAGCTAAAACGACTATATCTGAGCGTTTAGCCTTTCGCAGCAAACTAGACAGCTTTTGGTAGAACTCATCCTTCGTTTCATCCGAATTGTAGTCAGTGGGGGCGTAGGCGGAGATTACGAAAAGGCATCTGCGAGTAGTGCAGTCCTTTCTCCTTTTCACTGATCCGTTCAGACAGACAGCACACATTCGGCTACCTACCGGGATCCGGTCAAGTAATGTCTTTTCTGCCCTAGTACTCAGAGCTATCCCAACACCAGCTAATCCTTGTGAACTAGCCGTCGCATCTCCTGACACCCTCAAGGTGAATTTTGCAGATTCATCCTGTTGGCCAGGTGGGGTTAGGTGAATAACCACACTTGGGTCTTGTATGCGTGTTTCTGAAACACAACATACATCTATGGCTCGGGATGCCAGAGTCTTGACTAGTGATGCCTGTTGTCCTATTTGGCAAAGTGTCCTAACATTAAATGCCCCTATATGAAATTGGTGGCGTGGCTTTAGGAGACTATCGATGGTGGTTTTTTGGCTTACATCGTTTTCAGTGCACACAGAGTGAAGAGGAAGTGAAGAGCCATTAAGTAGAGGAGTTGCACTAGTAGAAGGAAGGCAAGATAATAGAGATGAAGATGAAGACAAAGGTGATTGAGGATTACAGAGGTTTCGCGTGCACTTCGGATTGTGAGGGCGATTGTTACTTCCCGGCTGCCCACACCGTGGAAGTTGGTTGCGTGACCGCAGAGCCCAGGGGACAACTGCTTGAGGCCGGTCACACACGGCCTGTTTTTGTTTGTTGTTTTTCATTTGGTGTGTCTCACTAGCGTATTTATCACTTCTGCCCTGTGACACGGCAGCAGAAAGCGCGGTCGTTGTTAATCCGGGCCCCGACCGATCCGGCATGATATTTTGTGATTTATTTGAAGTCATAGGATTGGATTGGGTAACTGCTTTTAGTCTAACCGCTATCTAAACAACCTTTCTGGCATGGTAGGACCTGCAGGAACATAAGTTCCAGCCAGTATAGCTTGTTGGGTCATTGCGGTGTTCAATCCTGACCACCACGTCAAGGTAGCAGCTTTAGGTCGGGATGGAAACACGTTACTGCTATTACATCTTTATTCGGCAGCAGTACGACTTGGTCTTCAAACTATTGCTGTAACTGCTATTCAAACGACTTTTCCGGCTTGGTAGGACCTGTACAAGAAATTTTGTTCCAGATGGCGTAGCTCGTTGGGGCATCGTGATATGCAAGCTTATTCACTACGTGAAGGTCGGATTGTATGTCGTCACTTTACCTTAGGTGTTTTTGTTTTATGGATTTTAGGATTTTGATAAGCTTCTCTAAAACAGTTTCAAAGTACAATTGTGTTAACTTCGGAAATTGTGCGTTCTCTCTTACAGTACGGTGTCCAGTCGCTGGATGCAAGGTATTTGTTTCGAATGAAACTCCTCCTGTAGGTAGGCTGCGTTAGACTGGCATTTAGTAGTTGTCTCCTGAGTTCTGCAGTTACCCAAAACTAGTACTATTTCTGTACTTCAAGAAGAAATCAATTCCCGTAGTTCTAGTAGTCTGTAAGAAGCATATGTCTAAGAAAGAGTTAGGCCTGATCAGATAAAAACACAGCACCAAACCCTGAATTCTGTGACTGTCGGTTTGAACCATATAGGGAGGAGCAGATTGTCTGGTTTGTGTCATGTTTAAAGATTGTTGGTGAGATGATTGGAAATCGTTCACAACGATGCAGCTGTATTAACTCCTTATGATCGACTGATTTCCGAAGCTCTTCACTTATCTGCATCTAATTTGAGTATATTTTCATTATGAGAATAAGAGAACACAGTTTAAGCAATCAAGTATTTACGGCAATTTCTCACCAGGCTTTACCATTATATAGTGAGTGAATTTATTCAGAGAGTGCTGAGAAAGCAGTGTTACTCGAGTCATTCCACTCCGATTGTTACAGTCTTCTTGGAGCACAGAGATAGTTGGTCAAGTGCCTGCATTGTTACTTAGTTTCATTACGTATGTGTTAATGTACTGCACCCTGGTAAACGTGTGACGGACTGACTTATCACCAGATGGTAGTTTCGTTGATCTCGATTGATGCAGATGATGTAGTCCTTCTATCTAAGTGATGATGCCAACTGTACAGAAGTAACACTGTGTGGTGTTGATATAATCACAAATACATTTGGTCAGTTCCAGGTAGGAATTGATCAGTGATATCGTAGTCTGAATATTACACAAAGATGACTAAAAGAAAGTGACAATTCTTTTCTTCCACTTTCTATCAACTTCGACTGCTGCGCTTTTGTGCAGTGCTCTACTCTAATAAACCCCTCAGTCTTTTAGTTTAAGATGACGTATTTAATGATCCTACACCAATGAATAGTCATGAGAACCAGAAGTGGTCTTGACGAAAAATCCAGTCTTGTGTACACTCACTTGGTCGATAGGTTGAACCGGATAGATATTTACAGGTTTCACGAAAGCAGTTGTACATGAAACAACTTATTGGAAGATTCTCTGTACAGAAATAATGACGCCAGAATGATATGAAATAATTTCTTTATAAATCCAACTGACTCTGTATTCTAATTCCACCTACCCTAAAGTAGTGTTAAATTGTAATCTTTCGAATATTTTATTATGAATTCTTCTGTTTGAAGCTGTTGACAGTACTCGTAAATACTGCTGCCTACAGTTTTTCTCTACTAAATTTAACTGGTTTGTATGCTCTTATCTATCTGAAAGGCGATGATTAAAGCTCAAAACTACTGGCGCACATTCATACCGAGGTTCACATTCAATATGGGTTTCTGTGGTGCATTTTTCAGTAAATCACGTTGGTCAGATAAGATTGTTTACAATCACCTGCTTGGTAAGTGTATTTATCTGTTAATCTATCTTTTTTTAGTGATGTTTTTAATTTACGCTGAATAAACTGAGGACAATATCGGAATACTTTTAGCCTGGTTTTGTGTTTGAGTAGGCAAAAAAGAAACAACTAATTAATGTTGAGTCATATGACTTAATTCCATTCTCATGATTTGCATCAAGAAAACAGTAATTCTATTAAAATGTGTAAACGGTGTGCACGCAACTCTACCAGCTTCTTCGACAAGTTTTGTGTTGCAGTATGTAAAGTTAACATCAACGTTTTCTGGTTTCTTTTTTGTTTCCAAATCAAGAGTATTACTTATTTATTAGAATGAATAGCCCATGTTTATGAGATTTTAAAGATCTACTTCGCCTTTCATTAACTGTCCGTAAATAGAATAACCAAAGGATGAAACACTTTATTCATTGATTTCTTTCATATGAACTCAAATAAATATTTCAACTTGTCCACTGATTTCTTTCAAAATTAGAAGTGTGAGCACACGGCATTTAGGAGCAGATTATTAGAAATAATCAAAAAGAAAAATTCGTAGAAAAGTGGAAACCCAAAACAGGTGTATTCTGTCCACAACACATTAACCACTAGTTATCTGGAAGAGAAGAATTCACGGCTGAGGACTACCGTAACACGTAGTCTGGAATTTGTACTAATTTCAAAAGTAGTTTTTCTGTTAAATTTTTTCAGTGAACTTTTCCCCTTTGGTATGGTAATAGAAGTGATTGGAAAAATACAATGGCTTTTCAACTGCTTGCATCGGCATCAAACGTTTTCAGCTTATGAAAGCTAATTTCACGATGTGTATCAGTAATAGTTTTCTTCCCACATCAACACTTTTTGAATGTTAATAATAATAATAATTATTAATATTATTACACTTTTAGAAAATCGTCACAAATTTTGGTGGTTCGACCATCTATGGCATCATCGTAGACCACATATCATGAATAAAACTTGTATCCAGCAGGATATTGAACGTAATCGTCAGTTTGCTAAGGTAACCTACATTTATTATTTCTTGTTTTGTAATTCTAAGGCGGATAATATATTGAAAGTTAATCATATGTTGGGAACCAAGTGTTTTTTCCTACTTCAACTCTGCCGGGAAAAATGGTAGAAGTTAAGCGTCCAAAGAGAGAAATTTTCTAAAATAGGTGTTTGAAATTCTCCTGCACTACTCAACTCCAAATGGTAACGTGAATCTCTAAATATGGTCAGACATTTTCTCACTAATTTATTCGATGCGTTAATGTTTATTGTGTCAGCAGGTTATCTACATAATTCAGTGCGTGTATATTTAGTCAATTGAATCTTGTTCTATTCATTATTGTTAGTTGATCAAGGAAAAATCAAATTTGTCTTTTGAATTAATTTTATCACTACTGTCACATTGAAGAAAAAAGTGTTTAACAGTTTAGCTTATGATACATAAGTTATAGGTAGGTCTTACTCAGTTACAGTGAAAAAAGTTGTTTTCAAAGAAGAAAGATGACATACTGCGTTATCTGTAGTAGACATTTACCCTTTAACAGTTTGTAAAGTAAAAGGCACCGCTTAATCTGTCGTAATACTCTTTTATGTTTTCAAGAATTAGTTTTTAAGGATAATATCAGTAACAGAACCACTGAGAACCAGGGAGTTGTTGTTTCGTCCCAGTTTGTGATTCATTGGTAGTGTGCACCCACTAGGTTTCTAACCCAGGACCTTCTGGTTACAAGGCAAACTCATATACCATTCAGCCACTGGAATCCGATTCAACGGCCTATGAATTCTAACTCCTACCGATTTGGAATTTCAGCGCGACCACCAACCAATGTTATCAGCGGGACTACATCCTCACCCCCCGACTGGGTGAACTACACTTGTCACGACCCCTCACTAGAACTCCAGGCAACTTCTTCCTGTAGCGCCAGTCATATCGGCGTACTGACGATGTGTCCTAAACTAGGACGAAACAGCTATCCAGTACTTCCAAGTTCTCAATGATCCTCTAACTGATATCAATCTGTGGTTTAACCTGAAACACATTTATGTATATATAATAATGGAGAAGATTTGTGGCCCAAGTGGATGATTTCGGTATATTTGTGTTGTGTGAGCTGGATGGTGCCTAGTATGGCTTTATAGTTCGCCTTATTTCTTCCCATTTGTCCTAAGTGTAATAGAATCTTCCAGATGTCCGGGTCGGGTGTTGAATCATTCTCATCACAGGTGTTCTGAGTTGATTCGATTAGTAAAACTTCAATTATTAACGTCTTCCAGTATAGAATACTGTTTCACTGTGATAAATCTAATAAATAAAAATTATATGGAATAACGTACTAGTACAGTGCGTAAGTTTCACACGTATTAAATATTTCATACTTATGCTTACTTCCAGGATCATGATATCCCAGTTCAAGACGGCTATTCAATTTCACCTCGTCATTCTGGTGTTTATCCAGTATATCCAGATTTGTATGATGCTTGGCGTGCTGTCTCCAATGTAAATGTTACATCTACAATACATTATCCTTATGTCAGACCATCGGATTTCCGTCTGGGCTTCCGTTATAAAAATATTCAGGTAATTACTTAATAAGTCGACATACTTTATTGATTTGTCCAATTTTTTTCTATGCCTTTAAACTTGTGCAGTTTGTGTCACTGAAATTTCATGCAGGTAAGGAACTACACATAGATCCATGGGCTGCTCTGTAGACCGGTAATAAATCAGGTCCCACTGGCTCAATGGTCTACGAGCTCGTCTTGTAACCAGAAGGTCCTGGGTTCGAATCCTGGTGGGTGCGTGCTGCTGAAGAGTCTCAAACTAGGATGAAACAGCTGTCCAGTACTCCCAGGTTTTCCAGTGGTTCGCTAACTGATGTCAGCTCATGATGAAATCCTACATGCAATTAAACCAAAAATCCCTACCAAACCAATACTTGAAAATCAGTAATCATTAGAAACCTTCTATTTACTTCCCTCACGGCTGACTATCTAGGTAACGTAAAACTGATTACTTCTCATATCATGGTGATCACAATGCACTTCTATGTTACATGTTTTTATTAAACAGTGATATCACCTTCTTGTTCTACCTAGGGTTAGATAAATAATATATTCAACATCTGTAACACCAATGTTTGTGAGTAGTATACTTAAATCAAATTGTTACCAACAGGTTTTTACGAGGCACTATAGTTTTACTGAAAATATTAGGTTGTAAAGCAATTCTAAACTGTTATCCAGCCTATTAAAACATCTTCAGATTTCTTTCGTTGAATAAATTTGGAGGTTTATGTCGTATCATCCAACTTCATCTTTTCTAACCAACCACAAACCCCAAAATAATTTTAATATCAATTTGCATAAACGTTCTTATCACTGGATTAGTCAACTTGATGACAGTAGGCATCAGTGCTGTGTAATGAGGTTAGGTTGATGATATTACGAGAGGAGGCAGTAACCTAGTAGTCATGTGTGGAAAAATTACACAGGAAGGAAGTTGGATAGTGTTATGGGATGTCAAGTGTCAACACGTTTTACGAAAAAAATTATCGGATCTGAACACTTTAAGCTGTTCAAAATAGGTCGAATGGAAGCTAAACAGTCAGGCCAAGAGTATGATTCAAAAAGCTTAATAAAGAGAGTTATCTGACGTATGTTACACATACTTAGAGAGTTAAGAATTTCATCATGATAAATTTTTCCCTGTATTATCATTTACTGATAGCAATGACAATAAAACTATAATGCATAAGTTATATATTCTATACTGTGAGTAACGCACAAAGTTTAAGAATGGCAATTACTATTCAGTCACTCAAACCTTCGCTAGTGAAACACATTGTAGACCCGTTAATTCTTGGTTGAAATTTGATTGTTTAAACCAGCGAAACCGATATTCATTTTAAGTATAGGCATTGTTGGATCATATTCGTCTATACTCATTCCTGATGGTGAAAAGTGAATCCCTCGTGCATTATTTTCCGATGCTATCGACCCAATACAATCGTCTGGATGCCGATATTACTGTAATGCTGAATAGAGGAAGATTTGTGTTTCCGATAATAAAATATTTAATTCCTGTAGCAATGAAAGCTGTGTAAATTGTCGATAAAACTAAGTATGCAGTACTCATGGTGTGGAGCTAGGTATATCGGTCGTCCGACTCGAGTTTTGTCCAAGAGGGTGCAAGAACATCCTGCACGGTTACGAAGAGGTGGAAGCGGGGATATAACAAGCGGGATCATTGAACATCTGGTCGATAATGATCACCGTACCACTTCAGCCTCAGCCTTTAAAATCATCTACAAGGCGAAAAGTAGTTTGTACGAATAATTACGTATCCGACTCATCTGTATTACTGAAGCCTTGGCTATCGAAACAGAAAAGCCATATCTGTGTATATAGAAAAAGTTCGTTCAACTCCTCCAACTTTAATGGTCTTAATCCCTGTTTGCTAAAGTATGATAATCCCTACTCATATTTTGGCTCTACCTATTTTTCGTTTTGTTTGTTCAATTTGTATACTCTTCCTTTATTACGTCAATTGTTAACATTACTATTCTCACTTTGAACTGTCCCCGGTATTATTTCACTTGTTCCACTTGTCATTCTAAATCAGTTCTGTTTTGCAATATTAAATTCTATGTTATCAAATTTCACACAATATTACGTAACGTTTTTATTTTATTCGATTTGCCTACTAATCCTATAATTGCACACCCTCTCCAGGTTTTATCCATCTTATGAATTATTCTACATATGATATTAATTGTGTTGCCACTTGACATTAAACTATGATTATAATCGCAAACATTTTAATTTTAATTGCATTTCATACTATTATTATTATTTTATACATTCAAACCTATTATTCAATTCCCTCACCGGATATAGCTTCTGAAAACCATATATATACGATTGTACAGCTTTATAATAAATTCGTTGAAAAGAGTCTCTTCTCTGAATCACCCGTTTTGATTTTCTGTATTCATAGTCAACATATGAAATATTTCAGCCGGACCACATCTAGTGACACTAAAGTGATTTAAGAAGGATTTGTTGGGAGAAAGAGATTTTGAAAAATAGAAACTTTGTTTGACGATTAATTACCCCACAAGCATTAATGCGGTTCAGAATATTCTTTCTAGCAGTACAAGATGACAAATATTAAAGCAAGATAAAGATGAAAACAGTGATATAGCTTGTTAACTATTACCCGTCGCAGTCCACAAGATAAACAAATAGGTTCTACTGCATTCACCATAAAGAACAAGATTAGCGTTTTCAACATTAATGTCAAGTCAGAATTTTAGTGCATTTGAAACAGTCTGAAGACCTTCATCAACAGCTTCCTTCGCCCCGTATTGAAGATCAGACGTCCAACCGGAAAGGTTAAGCGATAAGGAACTCTGTAGACGAACCAACGAAGAATCTACTGCCCAACAAATATGCTAAAGGAAGTGGCGATGTATCTGACGCACGCTCAGCGAACCGTCAAGTGGTACCAATCGCCAGGCCATCGAATGGAATGCGAATGGGAAACGACGAGTTTTGGCGTCCGAAGGTAACGTGGAGGTCATGTGAAGAAGAGGTCAGAGCTCATAGGCAGTCATGGAGCCAACTGAAGAGGACGACAGGAACATGTGCTTTTGCAGCCCTATGTTCCACTCGGAATTTAGGGGAGCAACAATATTAATAGTGATTTTTTCTTGATCGCATCACTAATTGTGGCATATCAATAAATTATGGTCTTTTTGAAAGTCTTATCTATGCATCTAATAACTTGTCACACTACTTAGAGTGATCATTATTGTTTCCTTTCCTCTTCTTTATCTTTATTTTACTCTACTTCATAATCACCTTCAAATGTCTATCCCATTCTGTATTTCTGATAGTGTAAGATCAATAATGCATGTAATTTGATTTTCGGTAAACAAAATTACTAGGAATTAATGGAGTAAAAATTATGTCCACCGAATTGAATGACATCGTGATAACAGTTATAATTAAACAAGTGATATATGACTGAGTTTAGTGTTTGCTTATTTCGGCTTACCAGTTATGTATTTATTGGTTAACATGCTTCTGTAGGTCCTTCCTCGACAAACCTGTGGAATTTACGCTCATACATTACATCCAGAGGATATCCAAGGAGGAATGGAACAGTTAAATGAATATATTTTGGGGGGAGCATTATTTCGCACATTTCTATTTAACCCGGTATGTTTATTGTCTGCATTATTATTATTATTTTGTATATCATTCAATAGTGTTCATAACGTTGTGTTGAATTGCATGCCCTTTGTCCATAGGTTTTCTGATCCCAAATTAATTCAGTGCTTTCTTGAAATATGTATTCTTTTGTATAAATTAACACCCTGGTTATTTTACCTAGGTTTGTTCACGGGGCCACTGAGCTACCTAAACCATCCAAAATGCGATTCCCTTAGTCTGTTGTTGTTGGTAGATAGTTTATCCTGCGATTACTTACTTTGTTTAAGCGCATCCAGTGGATGAGTCTGAATTATCACCAGTTGTGTGTTTTGATTCTTTCTGCTGGCCACTATCAATCGGTATAGATGTCTGGATAACATCCCTGTCAGTAAAGTTGAGAATGAAGAACACATCTCATCAATCGTTTGTTATTTTAACTCAATAAATTATCACAGGATGAAGTTAAATCATAATGAGAGTTTATCTGAATTGTTCGTCTACCTTCATGACTAATATTATAAATTTTTCATTTTAATTTATTCTTATTACTTAGGTTTCTATCTTTATGACACACCTTGTCAATTATGGAAATGATCGCTTAGCGTTGTATGTATTCAATACAGTCTTTGAGTTTATTTCTAACTGGACAAATATAAAGCTGGTTACATCATCTCCACTGGAGTTAGCTGACATATACATTGACCGTTTCAAGTTGTACGGCGTTAGTGAACTACCTTTATATTCGGATCCTTGTCGTAATGTACATCTGTATGAATTGTGGCCAAGTCACTGGCCGTGTGGTTCAAATCACTTGCCAAGTTTTATTATTATTGGACCTCAGAAAACTGGTTTGTTATTATTTTATGTGTTATTTTCTATCTATGTGTTACCTATTTCGTAATATCTGTTCCCGCTTTTTACCATCTGTCTAGTAACAACCGATTTATACAATAGTAAATCGGTTGAAGTAGTTTAGGCGATAAAAGGTAAAAAGGACCAACAAAAAACAGGAGCACTAAAAGAACAATTAATACTACTGAAGTGGTTAAATGTTAGATTGTTCTAAGAATATAACTGGTGAAAATACTTACTCCACGTTGTCACTGAATATAAGACATGCTGTTTAATGTTAGCAATCAACGGCGACTAATACTATGAGCAATCCTACTGAAATTTCCCCTGTAACTTTGATCAACAGTCAGTGACTCCGTATGTGATGCATATTTCTGCTGTTTCATGCTTCATGTATCTTTTTCAACTAGTTTATGTGTAACTCTACCTTCTGCTTTACTACTGTTATTCCCAAGCAGTGCTTCAGTATGCTACTTTTTGATTATCTTCAATATCGTCATTTCCGTTACTTTTAGTGATGATTTTTTAAAGATGGTAAATGCAACTCCAAAGTAAATTCTTTGTTCCTCTTTTCTTCTTATGACTAAACAATCTATTTCGATGCTGGCAGAGTTCTCATTGCACTAACCAGTCTCATGAATGTAGGAGAATTGCTTCAAAGTTCTGTATGCTTGAGTAATTCGCTTTTTATTTGTATTTCAAGGTACATTTACTAAATTAGCAACGTTTAGGAACCTACTGGGGAAATTAAAGAAGCATTGCACAGACTTTATGTCATGTTCTGTATACCATTAGTCCTTAGTTCCTAAGAGTCTTTTGGCAAAATTGTTCAGTGATAGTTAAGGCTAGCATGGAAAGTGAGAAGGTTGTATTGTATGTTTTCTGCAAAACAGAATTAGTTGGGGGACGTTAGTGTTGAAAACAGAGCTATTGTTGATAAATGTACATTAAAAAAGGGCAATCGCAATAAAGATACGACAGAAAACATTGACAGATAAAAGTGCTCAAAGTGCTTAAAGAACTATAAACTGATGAACAACGAACTTAGACCCCCAAAGGATCCCGTTTACCTTTAATGTGTGGGCAACTAAAAATATATAACGATAACTTACGTATTAGGCCTATTCTGTCTGTTCCCGTAACCGTAAACTTTCTAGCTGATTAGCACAAAAGCTAGAAAATGTTTGGGAAAAATTATCAACCTACACCTTGAAAGACTCGTTTAACTCCGTGAAAAATGGAACAGTTTAGTGTATCCGACAAATTTATGACATCCCATGAAATACAGTCCCTGTTTATGAGCATTTCCCGTCAGGAAACAATGATTATCATCTGTCGATGTACAGAACACATACCATTACCAACTACTCCTCCTGACATATACCAAAGATTAGGAATGGAGAGTCTGCTGGATACAATAATGTCTGATATATTCCTGCCCCATCTAGAAAATACTACCTTGAACTCTGGATTCACAGCAAGTGTGCTTTATTCAAGGTATACAGATGTTATATTTATTGCAGGTGATGATGCTTATCATCCCGAAATACTTCCACAGAGGTCCAACGGTGTTTATTCAAACATCAGGTTCATAAAAGAGCATGAAGTCAAAGGCTAACTCCACTTTCTTGACTTATGCATGAAAAAAGCAGATGGAACGACAGAATAGAGTATTCATTGTTAAACAACCAGGAGTGGTCAGTACTTAAAATTCAACCTCTTCTGCCCTGTAAACTACAAAAGATGTTTAATAAGGGCATTATGTCAGACAGCAGAAAACCTTTACTCCAAAGGAACATTACGCAGTGGAATCAATCTCATCATCAATGAATGTTTAAGGAACATTGGATATTCAGAAGTATTCGTAGATAAGTAGTGTACACGTGGTAATTGGAAATAGAGTACTTTACTGTCGGAGAGAAACCACTGTTCTTTAAGTTAGAATTTAAAGGTGACGAACGAAAGACGCCAGTATCAAGGACGTATACAACCTCCAAACTAGTGCTCCTGTATGATAGGACCCAGCATAAAATATTATATCATCCTTTCTCATGAATCGTGTGATTTATCATGTGATGGAGTTACTACATGAATCTGTCTTTTTTCACGCATGTTGTGATTTAGTGTGTGACTAATTCATCTTCTTTTGTCGCACCTTCTGTCTGTTTTCGACATAGAACTTTGCACATACGTGCTGCAGTTCAAGTCGCCATACTTCACTCAGCACACAAAGCAAGAGAAGAAAGTAGGAGAAATGCATAACATAGACAGTAAACAGAGGTGTGAGACAAAGGTATAGTAATCACGAAATCATAAGTCACAAGGAGTGGATGCATCTGCGCCACTGAGAACGATTTTGAGCCATGTCACCAATTGTTTCCAACCATTGGTTTTTACCGTCCCGAGGACCCCAACCAGTCAGGAAGTCTACACCTTCCTACGTGGCTTAAACTAACTGTTGTAGATTTCATTGACTGGTGCCATGTTTTCGTCTGACCGCTGCTGGCTCTTTTCCAGCCTGACCCTATATCAGCTAACATTGCCCGTCAAGGAAGGCGATGACTAGGCATACGTAACACATGTCCTAACCATCTCAGTCGATGTAATTTCACAGTTTCGTTGACTGTTATTATTATATTGAGGTTAGGCGTCGAGTGCTAGGTAAGGAGGGGAAATCAGTCGACGAGACTGTGAAATTGTCGCACCTTGGTCTTTGTCGCATCACCAACCAATCAGCATAGACATTTCCAGCCAATAAGAACAGTCCATTCTCACGGTTGTGAGCTGACCTTATAATGGTTAAGATAATGTATAAATATCATGTGTTGTTTGTTAAACTATGTAGCACAATATAATACAGTACCTTACAGTCACAGGCTAGCCTTTGTCTTTTGATATTTGCGTAGCTCAATGAATCGGAAGACACAATGGACAAATAGACGTATTAGTGTATCAGTCGAGTTCATTACTGTTATAGTAATTAACAGGCGCAGACATAATTAAATAGCAACGGATTTATTCAGATCAGTTCAGTTATAACAAATTGGCAACGGAGTTATAACACTGTATAAAACAGTCTGTTCACGTACGTAGCCCAAACTAGACTGATTTTCTGCTCTCATTAGCTCCTGTTTTGTTTATAAAATCATTTGTAAATGCGGTAGCAAATAAGTAGGAATAATGGAAACTTTATTTTGTTTGGATAACTTTCTACTTGACTAATGTCCACTTATGCTTAAATTATCCTTAAATTCTAGAACTTTATATGATGTCTCTACTTTTAATCATAACTGATTATTCCAACTTCTTGTACAATTTGTTCTTCAACTGTCAGTCGATGAGGTTGTGAAGCTGTATCGATTGAGATTTCTAGGATACCTGTTACGCATGCCTAGCTATCACCTTCCTTGACGGGCAATGTTAGCTGATATAGAATCAGATTGAAAAAGAGCTATTAATAGTCAAACCAAAACAATGACGTCAGTCAATGAAACCCTCAACCGTCAGTTTAAGCCATGTAGGGAAGTGTAGACTATCTGGTTGGGGTCCTCAAGATGTCAAGAATCAATGACTGGAGACAGTTGGTGATATGGCTCGAAATCGATTTCAGTGGCCCAGATGCATTCACTCTTTATAATCTGCCATATCGCGAAAAACTCTATTGTTTTTCATGTTACCATTCTTTCTCCCTCACATTCCTGCTTATTATCACTTTCTTGAATCTCTTTTTTGTCTTCGTTTGTGTGATACATGGAGTGTGGCAAGGTGAATTCTTTCATTTCTTTTGCAAAATTCTATGTTGAAACCAGTCAGTCTCCGTTTTTGGTATATTATTCCATTGTTATAAAGTTAACTGACTCATTTAAAGTATGTTCAAATTATGTCACACTGATTGCTAATACAGTTTATTATTCAAGGAGTATGTAGCTAATGAAAACCCTATGAAATGAAATGAATTCATGTTATCCTGCAAAAGTTGTTGTGATTTCGTTATTCAAACTTCTTAACGAGGGAACTAATTGTGTGAAATAACCATTCTACTAAATTAACATGCTGCATAATTTATCCTCTTCTTGTCCACATTACGCTTTTGTACACACTATTCTGTAAGATTATTTTGATACTCAGTCGCTTTTGTTAGCATGTGTTAAAACATCAACTAATTAAGTTTTCCCCCAGCGTCCCCATTCAGTCAGTATCGCTAACTGCGCTAAGATTTCAATAATCATCGCTGGACATTTCTGACAATTCACTGGAAGCTATGTGCATAGTGTTTTCTGAAATAGAGTGTAATATACATTAGTATATTACTTGTGGAATTGTGAATAATGTGATAAACTCAACGAACAAGTGAGGGACTAATCTATAAGAAGCTGTTGGTAGTAGGTTACCTCAGTGCTATTTCTATAGCTAGATTTGATAAAATATGAGGAAACTGGAACATCTTTGGCAATATTGATGTGTATCATAAGATTTAAAACAGAACACAGTTTGTATCTAAATGACTTACGTGTATCGCATTAATTATTCTTATGCCGATTGTAGCTCTGCTTAGCGGTTAGGTTTTGTACCTGTTTAATTAACTTGGGCGCTATAGCGCCAACTAGTTGCCACTGATTTAAGTCTTAGATTGTTTTGTGTTGTGTTTAACGTCACCCGCTTCATCTAGGTCACAAACTGTGTTTTTTTACCATTTTTATTTAGGTTCAACAGCTTTACTACAGTTTCTGTTGTTGAATCCTGAATTAACTGCTAATCGATTCCAACATGATTCCACTTTTGAAGAACTACAGTTTTTCAGTTCTGATGATATTTATTCACGTGGTGTACATTGGTATATGAATCAGTTTTTAAATGATTCAATGTTACCACTAAGTGATCTTCAACGAAATGATAGAAACGTGAACGTTACTTACTCTACAGACGAAGATGTTCCCTTCACACGATTTGAAAAGTCAGCTACATATTTTGATAGTCCTAAGTCTCCAGCCCGAATTCATGCCTTAATGCCTAAAGTAAAACTGATCGTGCTTCTTCGTAATCCGGTGGATAGAGCCTATTCATGGTATCAGGTGAGCTTTTTTGTGTATGTAAATTCAAGTTTTTAATTCCAACAAGTTTACATTTCTAACTTTCAGTTTTTCCTGTCATATTTTACTATCTAATCAAAGAGGAAATTTCTCTACAACCGGAATGGTTTAAATTGTATCCTTCTTCGTGTCACTATGTGACATTGGGTGTTTTTATGATTGTTCGACATAACTATTCAAACTTTACAATACATTGGCGTTATACTTATTTGACTACCAGTGTATTTAGATAGTGTTATTGATTACTTTAAACAATCTTTTCAATATAAAATAAATGTGAAAAAATGAACCGCAAATACTGCAATTTACCTACTCGATATCATTTGATATACTCGTCTCACAATCATATTTAATCTGTAAGATCCTATGTTATTTTCTGGCTATATTTATCCAGAGTAGGTTGCGTGTAAGTTCGAATTTAAAACCTCTCAACGGATACCTGGAAGCTAATAGAAAAGCGGAGGAGAAGTTGACTTAATACACAGATGGACAACAGAAGGAAAAGCTGAGTTCAGTGTACTCTGCACTGAATAAAGAAGTGAAGAAGGGTGCTAGGAAAGACAAAAGACAACTCTATGACACAATGACAACTGAAGCAGAATAGGCAAAACGCGGGTAAAAGAGACCTCAGGACATTATATCAGATAACCAGGTCTCCATCCGGGAAGAGAACAACGCAGGTGATGCCTATAAAAGATGGTCAAGGGAACTTAATTACCAAAGACGAGAGACAGATAAAACAATGGATTGAAGGATTATTGATTCGAACATCACCTGCAAATCGCCCAAAAATATACCACCACCAACAGCATGCATAGAACTGCCTGCCTGTGGACACCAATCCTCCAACGAAAACAGAAAACCTGAATGCGAGGAAGCTACTGAAGTCCGGGAAGGCAGCTGGACCAAACGGAATTTCTCCTGCCCCTGAAGCATTGAAAACGGACCCAGAAACTGCGGCAGATGTTCTCACATCATCATTACAAAAGGTTTGGAAGGAAGGGAAGGTGTCTACTGAGTGGAAGAAAAGCTACCTCGTCAAGCTGTCAAAGAAGAGTGACTTACGCCTCACTCTGCAAGAACTGGCTTGGAGTAATGTTCTTGTCCATGGCAAGTAAAGTATCAGGTCGCATGATCCTGGAGAGAATAAAGGATGCACTGTATATAGAACTCCGCACATCGGAACAAGCTGGATTCAGGAAAGGCAAATCATCTGTCGATCAAATTGCAACTTTTCGCATCGTCATCACAGAATAAAGCATAGAATGGCAGTCAAATCTCTCTCTACTTCAACTTCGTTGACTTCGAAAAAGCCTTCACTGGACAGCGTTGACCGAGACGGAGTTTGGAAACTACTTCAACACTACGGTGTACCTCAAGTCTTTATCAGCCTCATTCAACAGCTGCCTATATGACAGTGGTAAATGTCAGATGATCCGCAAATGAAAGCTCAACGAGACGTTAGAAGTGCATACAGGAGTAAGACAAGGCTGCCTACTACTACTATCACTAATGATATTCCTAATTGTCGTGGACTGGACTGTGCGGAAGACTGTGGGTAGCGAGGAGACAGGAATACGTCGGACCACTGGTAAGAAGACTCTAGAAGATCTGAACTTCGCAGATGATTTCTGTCTAGTGTCATACAGACTCGAAAACTTGCAGGCGAAAACCAACAAACTAACAGTAGAAGGTGGAGACGAAGACAGGACTGCAGGTGAATATATAGAAGACAGAGATGATGAAGATTACCAAAGAACCGCAACAACAATCACCATCAACGGGAGAGATGTAACAGAGGTTACCTCCTTTACTTATCTAGGAAGTATTGTTGCAGCTACAGGTGGAACAGATGAAGATGTCGAAGTCCGAATCAGAAATGCAAGATACACCTTCATCAGTCTGAAACCAGTTTAGAAATCTTCTGCACTCCGCAGCATAAGGAACAGAATTGATATTTTCAACACCCATCTCAAGTCGGTCCTTCTATACGGGTCAGAAACTTGACCGGCGTGTCACGAAAACGATTTCGAACAGGCTGCAGACTTTCATCAACAGCTGTCTTCGCTCCATACTGAAGATCGAATGGCCGGAAAAAATTAGTTACGAAAAACTCTGGGAACAAACTAAGAACCGACCGCTCAACAAATATGGGGAAGAAAATGGAGATAGATTGGACACACGCTTAGGACGCCGTTGGATGACATCAAAAGTGGACCCAGCTGAAGAGGATGGCAGAAAATAGAAGAAAGTGCAGGTGTGTTGTTGAAGCCCTATGTTCCACTCTCAACCCAAGGGAATAATAATAATGATAGTAGTATGAAATGCAATTAAAATTAAAATCTTTATGATTATAATCATAGTTAAATGTCAAAAGCAAAACAATTAATGTCATACATAGAACAATTCATAGGATGTCTAGAAGTTGGAAGAAGTGTAAAATTATAGGATTAGTAGGGAAATCGAATGAAATAAAAACGTTACGTAATATTGTGTGAAATTTGATAACATAGAATTTAATGTTGCAAAACAGAACTGATTTAGAATGACAAGTGAAATAATACCGGGTACAGTTCAAAGCGAGATTAGTAGTAGTAATATACGTCATAATGGAAGAGTATACAAATAGAATAGACAAAACGAAAAATAGGTAGAGCTAAAATATGAGTAGGGATTATCATACTTTAGCAAAGAGGGATTAAAACCATTTAAGTTGGGGGTGGGGTTGGATGAACTTTTTCTATATACACAGATCTGGCTTCTCTGTTTCGATGGCCAATGCTCCGGCAATACAGATGAGTCGGGTACGTAGGGATTTGGGTAAATTACTGTTTGCCTTGTAGATGACTCTAAACGTTGAGACTGTAGAGATAGGGTGATCATTATCGGCCAGATCTTCAATGATCGCGCTTCTTATTGCTCCACTTCCACCTCTTTGTAACCATGCAGGATAATGTTCTTGCATCTTGTTGTTGGACAAAACTCGAGTCGAACGACCGATATACCTAGCTCCACACGAACAGGCAAGTCAATAAACGCACGGAGAGTTGGTTAACTGCAGGATCTTGTCCTTGAGATTACTGAACAGCAATGGTCGATTAGAAAACGCTGTTCTCAACGATGTAGCATGGAATATCGTTTTCAGGGACTATGGGGTCCTTCTTTTAATGATGTGGGCAGAGAAGTCACTTTTGAATTCCATGCTCATGTACAGCATTCTCTTGATTATGGACGTTAAGTCACATTTCATAGGTTTTGTCTATAAAACGTGATGGAAATCCATTTTCTACTAGGATTTTTCTAGGGCATTTAACTCTTTCTTCCCATCATCAAGAATACATATGCCCCGAGTGCTAGTGACAAGTGACTGAATCAGGTCTTGTTTTCGACGAATGGGTTCCCAGCCGTAAAAATTTGTCAGTTGACTATTCCATGACAGCTTTCTGCTAATCGACCTCTTCAAAGTCTCATCGGTCCTCCTCCATGAGTTCACATCGTGTAAATGAATGCTACACTCGTTTACCATTTCGAGTGTGAATTTTATCTCTGGATGGCAACCATTAAGTGAATTTAATATATTACTCAGATTATATATATATATATATATATATACGATTGTATAGCTTGCTAATAAACTCGTTGAAAGAGAGTCTCTTCGCTGAATCACTTGTTTTGATTAGGCATAATTCGCTCGTATACACGAAATACGTACATAGGCAGATGATATATAATAATTTAATCGCTACTGTTATAGTTTGTATTTTCGTCTAGATTTTTCTAGAGAGCATAAAAGCAATTAATACTCACTATTTTCTCTCTTTCGTTTTCTACAAATAAGTATGAACTGATTATTCGTTCAGCAATCTTACGTGTTCTGCATTTTCATTGATATATTATTGTGTTTTTTCACTCCAAAAGCATCGTCTTGCCCATCGAGATATCGCCCCACAACTTTTATCCTTTAATGATCTAATGCTATACGGTCATAATCTAACTGAAACCGACCTATTGACTATTGTATCTGCTGAAAAACTCAAAAAATTCTCCATCGACACTAGAGATTCACATATGCTTAAAAGTATTGTTTCAAGCATCCATCACTTATGGTCACGGTGTATTGGTCCAGGAAATTATGAACAACACTTGCTCAACTGGTTGAATTATTTTCCAGCTTCACAGGTTTGTGCATTCACCCTGCTTATATGTTAACCTTTTATTAGAAGCCTAAATATGACTTTGAAACAGAGATCATTAATAATGAGTTTATGTGTTCACTCTGAATAGCTATGAAGCAATATTTTATGCATGAAATTATATCTAAATTCGGTGGTGATGGATTTAACATTGAACGTAAGTTTTTAGTTAACAAGAAAATCGATTTCGAGGAGTGAAAAGCTTGCGAACATCTCAGCAGTACTAGTCGGAATGGATTTATAGACATTGAGCAAACTGTAGAGATCGGTAAATATTAGTTTTAACTATCGAAATAAGAGAATGTAATGAACTCAGAATTCATATTATGACCCTGTGCGAAGTAGCTAGTCAATAGTTATGAAAAGGTCGCCAAAGCCTGTGTAGTGTAGCCTCTAGTTGAAGCACAGCAATGTACTCTGTCTAGTGTTGAGTGTTAACGATCAGTCTATTGGAAATTCTGGACCTAAAACAAAGACCTTTTTTGCAACTTTCAGGAAGTACGTATTTCACTTTGTTGATTCTGCCAACCAAGTGCAAGACGGAGTTGTAACTCATAGTTTCCCCAATAATACTTGTTTCTACATATGTTGATGATTAAGTGAATACTAAGGGTGATTCGCGAAGTTACTGTATGGATTTTTTCTTGATAATTTAAATGGAAAAAGTGATTTAAAGGTTCATTTGCTATGCTTTGACTAATCTGGTGAATTTTTGGCAATTCTACCTTACGATTTTACCTTCAAATCATTTAGACTATTATTTTATTTTCATAAAGAATTATTGTTATAGGCATTGTATTCAGTTTCAGATAATATCGTTGTCATTGGACTTTAAAAATTGCAACCCGTTAAATGAAAGTGTTATTAAAGTTTTAACGATGTTACATATTTTTTTCTAGAAATTATATGTTTTTGTACATTTTTTATCAATTAAACCGGGTACATTTAGAGGATATCAAGGTATGCGTTGATGCAAAATGGAGGTGGATTTGTGACAGTTGTGCTTATTTCCTTTCATCTTTCTTGTCTTTATTATGATTTAGTAGTTCGTTTATATTTTTGACATGTCGTCAATATAGTTTCATGATGCTCTGTTTAAGTTTTTGCAGAGCAACCGATCAAACTCCAGTTTTATGTCGTGTAAATGTTCTTGAATTACTACTACTACTACTACCCAGATTATATGCATTTGAAGTCCAGTCCTAGTTGACGTGTTTACTTATGTCTGTGAAATTTCTTTTCAGATATTATTATTAGATGCTGACAAGTTTTCTCAAAATCCTGTACCTACTATGGAGATTGTGCAACAGTTTTTATCACTCCGTAGACAATTGGATTATTCACAGTATTTGCAGTAAGTTAAGCCAAGACTTTTGGTGCTTGATGTTTTCTTAAGTCTAACAGCCACCTAAAAGTGATAATTCGTATTGCATATTGTAAAAATGTAGTGATCTATATTTGCCACAATGATTACTCTTGGCGGTTATATCATGGTCGATAAGTCGGCTGCACAGAAATAAAAGTGAACAAATATTTGCCATCATATTGTGAACGTTTAACACTATAGTGAGTGTCTAAGCGAGAAGTTGTACTTCTGATATAAAGAGGTTTGTTGACAGTAAGGTATTTCTTATTGTTATCCACTATATCGGTTATTGTCTTTTCATTCAGGAAACTAAAGAACTCAAGAACTGCACACACACATATCTACCTTATCCAGGTCTGTAATCGGTGGTAAAATTCTTCGCATATACGAAATTCTCCAAGTCTTAGTACCCTTCACCAAACCACGTGTTATAGTTTCCACTCAAACGTTTCCTGAGCTCTGTTGTTGCATGGAGCTCATGCTTTCTGTCCTTCAATTACTGCAAAGATATGACATAGATTCATGGGGTTTTAGGATATTAATATGACTCATGTAGAAAAAGTACACATCCTGGTTTTGACTGGCAAAGTCAGTAGTTGGAGACTTGGTTATGTGATTAGAAAATTTAGAGAGTTATGTAAGTACATTCTCTTATTATATCAGCTTTAATTTTAATCCCAATATGTTCTTGTCCACTTCTTTCTCCTGTGCTTTTAAAACAACTGTGGTGTTTTATCTACCTTTCTGAGCAAGGCCAGCCACCTATCATAAAGTTGCATTTTGCTTATGAAACAACGAAGCTAATTACCTTTTGCATTGCGCTGTATTAACACCAACCTGATATGTGATAATTATGAGAAGTGTACTTTCTAAAATGATGTTTGATAACACTCTGAAGTATGCTATTTGTAAATTTTTGGTGTCTAGGCCATCTTTGACAAAAGTAGATTGTGGCGGACATTTTATTGTCTAGAGATAAGCACTTCAAAATACGAAGTTATTGAACATTTGCAATCATTATTCCATCTACAGCAGATATAATGATGACTTTGTATGAAAAGTAACGAAATGTGCTCGATATACAAAGTTGAAACACCACATCAGTCACCCTTGTATGGATAACAGAAAGAAATTAGATCGTTTATTTGATGAACTGATTATTTCGGAAAGTATCAGAAAAATGTGAAACGTCGAAACATGTAAATCAAACAATAGCGAAACTGTTCTAAATGTAATTAAATATCATCAGGTTAATCAACTACTGACATTTAAGATCTTTCGAAGACAGAAGTGCCATGTAGTGTTACAACTCTGTAACTGATTGAATTTCCTTAAATTACCTATTCATTAGGCAATATATCAACATGTACTGTAGTCATCGTGTACACCTCAGTTGGTTATAAAACTTACGAACTCTAACTAGAGTATCAGATATATAAGGATGCTGAGAAATTTACTTTAATCAGCTATATGGTATCATGTATTTTTAGAAAGCTTTCTTCTGGTTTGATATAAATATATGACCACGGGAAAAAAAATCAGTGGAATTCAAACACTGATCTTCACTCTATTTCTATTTCAGCTTCAATTCAAAGAAGGGTTTTTATTGTATATCTACGAGAATGGTACAAGGTGAACAACAACAACAACAACAAAAGCAGCAGCACCGTTACCATGACAATTGCTTAGGTCAGAGTAAAGGAAGAGTATATGAGCGGTTAGATCGTGATATTTTAATACCGAAATTGATGAATTTACACTTTTCTAAGGCTAATCATAAACTTTATCAGTTGTTACAAAAGCAACCTGTATGGCACAGAATGCTATCGATGAATTCAAAAAGCCTCCCTGCATGGATTATGTAAGAAGTTCATATGAAATGAGTTGACAATCACAACTGTTAGTATGGGTTTTTTTTCTAACACGCTTTTACAAGACATGTTTTAGTAGCTTTGCATTTCACTGTTTTCATCCTGCATATTTTGAAATGCCTTGAATTTTTCACAGCTGAACTTTTGATTTCTTTCTATTTATATATTTTATAAACCAAAAGTACTCAATATTCTCTGTCTTACTTTCTATTAATCTTTTTTCAAACTGCATTTTTTTTAAATTTTAAAAAGTATAAAATTATTTACTGAGAAGATATTTCTTGTAAACGATGTATGAAGATATAATGTTGTGTATGTGTTTGAATGTTAGTGATAGTAATTTAGACTTAGAGCTAGCTATCCGTTGATCACTTCTTGACATGAAAGCTGCATTAGATTTCGTCAACCAAGAGGTACTATGGCGATGTTTGGCTGTGAAGAGAATGCCGAGAAAATATGTTGCACTGATCAAGACCCCCTACTCGAATTTATGCAGCCAGGTAAGAGCTCACGGCGAGTCGTCAGCTGCAGTGGTGTCCGTCAGGGATGCCCACTATCCCCATTTCTGTTTAATTTCATCATAGATATCGTACTAATGGACTCAACCCTAACTAACTTCAGAGACTCAAGGATCAACTTGTTACCAAGGAATAATCTCGTCGACTCAGAATATGCAGTTGATATAGTCCTCCCTCCTAGGTGAAGACGCTGACAAAATTCAGAGTCTTCTGAACACCTTGGCGAGCAGAAATCTTCGAATGCTTGACATGCGATTCGCTCCCGTCAAATGTAAGATGATGCTACAGGACTGAACTACATCGACTCCGAGCTTAAAGCTGGAAGTGAGTGAAGTAGTAGAGCGTGTTGATCACTTCACTTATTTAGAGAGTTGCATCAGGCAGTGCCAGTGCGTTGATCGCTGACAAGATCGCAGCACGGATGCAGAAGGCTCGTTCGGTATATGCCAACTTACGCCATCTTTGGCTCAGTAGACATGATATCCCGCTGTGTGTCGACCAAAGGACGTGTGCACTGCTCAACATTTCTTTATGGCTGAGACATGACCATTGAAAGTGGAAGATACTAAAAGGCTAGCTGTCTTTGATCATAGGTGTCTGCATTCTTTCTCCCGTGTTAGTTAAGTGTTATAATAAGGTGAGCGATATTGAGGTTAGGCTTCGGTCGGGAAAATCAGCTACTATAGGAGATATTGGTGATCATATGAAATGATAAGGAGGGAAAATCAATCGACGAGGTTGCGAAGCTACACCGATTGAGATGGTTAGGACATGTTTTACGCGTGCATGTCTAGCCATCGTCTTCCTCGACGGTTAATGTTAGCTGACATAGGATCAGGTTGAAGACGAGCTAGTGGTGGTCAAACTAAAATATGGCATCAATCAATGAAATTCACAAAGTTAAAGTCACGTAGGGAGGCGTAAACTACCTGGTTGGGGTCCTTGGGATGGTAAAAACCAGTGGAGGCAGTTGCAGACAGTTGGTGATATGGCTCCAAATAGTTCTCAATCACGGCGCAGATACATTCAACCTTTGCGATTTGTCATATTCAATCAAACTCTATTTATTTTTCCACATAACTATTCTTTTTCCCTCATACTTCGATGCATTATCTCTCATTACCCTCTTCTCTTGCTTTATGTGCTACATGGAGTGTGGTGACTCTAACTGCTGGACATCTTTGCAAAGTTCTATGTTGAATCCAGTCAGTCATCCGCTGATCGATTTTGACACGTCAATCAGTCACCGTAGGTTAATGGTGATCTGAATAACTTGATGTTATAGTCGTTGTCTTTTGTACTGGATGATACAAGTTACGATTTCACAGACAGAATTACATATACACCTTATCAATGAGTTTTTGTGTGTCGGTGGCACAGCGGTAGAATGCTTGTCAACCACGCATATGGTTCGATCCCTGGCCGACGCACTCCTCTGCCTCGCTAAGCCAGTAATAAGACTGGTAAAGATGGATGGTTGGGCATGAGGCTAGCAACTCCATCCCGTAAAAATAAACACCACTGCTACTGAAACTTCGAAGCTCTAGCATGAAGCCCTATGTTCCACTGGGAACGTAAAGAAATAAAATAATAAATACATTGAGTTTTTAATAAGCTCAAAACGTACGTGTAAAGCTTTCTTTCAATGTATTCGTACTAAAAGAAAACACCAGTGATACCTACACCGTGAACTAAAAGATTACCTAGGCGGTTGTGTACTTGGAACTGCATCACTACACTTTTCGTAAATAATTATCATGAAAAGAAGAAAATAATTCAATGTAAAGCAGGTATATGTTTATGGTGGATTTAAGTAATGAAAGTACAACCAGCTAGAATTTCCGATCAGTACTGCTTCATGTAAACAACTTGACAGGTAACTTAGTTTAGGATGTAAGATAACCCATGAGTACTGAAATGGGGTTTTCAGTAAAGTAATATTCTTACTCACCACTCTTTCTCGTGAAACACAATTGAAAGTCTAAGTTAAAATCCCATTATTATAAAGCTTTTTGTATTTCCCAATGAAGGAAAAAAAGCATTCATGCCATCCACTCTTGAAATAGGAAACGAATCCAAAATTCCCTTTCTTGTTATCAAACAAACATGAAAGCCGATGGAACCGTAAGAGAGTGTGTCCATAGGAAGTTCCTACATCTGATGCCCATTGGACGAAATTTAATTATATCCCTGGACATTCACATCTGACGTACTTGCATCCTAGCGGTTTCAGAAAAAGAATTAGACTTGGGAGAAGTCTACATCCAGTACGGATATCCCCTGAGATTAATTGACGAGAAAATGAAAGTGGATATTCAGAGATTTGAAACATCTTGAATCTCGATTTCGAAGGTAACCCTTTGATAATTTCCTTAGGAAAAAAATTTCAACGTCTCTGAGGAAATTCTTCGCAGCAATGCTAAGAGTAGTATTCTGCAGAAAATGAGATCTCTCATCTAACTACTTCTATGTGCATGTGTCAGTACACCTACCCCTATGGAGCCAGGTACATTTGTCGTTCTACTCTTATCATCCAAAAGGGTTCAATAATACTATCGTGCATGGTAGCAGTGACTCTTTAGGGAGTACAATAACTGAACACCTCGTTGACACTGGTCATTCTATCTCAACGAATTCCTTTTTCGAATTGATCTATCTATAAAGTGAAATGCAACCCGTCAAAGGCAATATACTTTCTCCTGTTCTGTGTTACTGAATCGCTGGTCATTCGGATAGAGAAACCTGAGCTCTGCATACAAAAAAGAACTCATCAGCCACTTCTGTTGTTTTCAGCCAATTTGTTGTGTTTTTTTAACTCTCCCATTCTGTAGAACTCTTGCGTAATATAACGTTCCCTTCGTCTCCATGTGCATCTTGAACACAATACGTAACTATTTCAGCCTTATACAACTTTTCTAATAAATTGATTTATATTAGCAACTTTGGTTGCGACAACTCATCCCTTTTGTTACTATCTTCCTTCGCGGAGAAAACTGTGTAAATGCGATTGTACAGCTAAAGGAAATGAAAAGGCCGAAGATAGTCTCTTCGCTGAACCACTTTTGTTTTTCGTTGTGTCAAAATCTTCACACCGTTTGTATTTTCACTCGCTAAACTGAAATCAGTATTAGTCCGCCCATTTACCCAATTGTTTCTTTACGTCATCATCCTTTCAATGCCAAAACCCTTCCTTTCGTACTTTTCATCATATCATGTGTAAATAAACTATAGTTGTTCAGTTAATAACTGTCTTGTATACATACCTCTTGTTCTGTTACTATGCTAAGAATTATTACATTCCCTTTCATTTAACATAATTTTGAAGTATGTTATATATTTACATTTTTAGGCTGTCAGTAGCTGAAGAAAGGCCGTGAAATAACAGTCATTTCTTTTTTTATCCTGAAAACGTATTCGTTGTAGGATTATTTCAACTAGGAAACAGTACCTCCTGAGCTGCATATTTTCAAATGATTTTATAGTTGTGATCTGCAGAAGTGTAAGGCTCTTTTTCTGTCCTTCCACTTGTTTTAAAACTAAACAGCGGTTGTATTTTACTGGTCCCCCTTGAGTATTCCTATGATTTGTCTTCAGGAGCTAATAACTATGACATATTTCTAACAGAATTTCATACTGTTCTATCAGCTTTCTCTCTCCTTTGTTATCTGTCATGGGTGACGGTTGTTGCATAAACTTCTAGTCACCCTACTTGTTATTACGTCATGCTTGTTATCGTAAGCGAGGTTTGTTAATGTGTAGTTTTGGAGCATTCATTAACTTGAATCAGATTACTGTGATCAGTTTCAAACATTAGTTTTCGAAAATACTGTGGGCAGTGCAGACTTGCACAAGGTAAATAGTAATTCTATGTACGTGGCCAGTACATTGTGAAATACAACTTTGGCATTTTCATTCTGAAACTGATCTCGAAAGTCTTTCAACGGTAGTCTCTCTACGGTGATGCAGTAATACGACTTCAAAGTAGCAAATTATTACTTTTGTGTTATGGTTTTATCTGAGGCATTCTGACGAACACTATAATATGTTGCCAACGCAACAGTGGACGTGTGCAAATACAAATACAGTTAATAACAATTTCTAGGTCTTGAAATTATTTTTCAGATTAATATGTTCGTTTTAATCGGTGTTAATTTGGCCTAACACGCGATAACTCAGCCACAGGTAAATCGATAGACCAATCACTGTTTGAGTGGTGAGTGGTGTAATCCATCTCTGTCGGTCTGGAATTTAGAAATCTCTTTCGCATAGGGATTAAAACATTTCGATGGGCCTTGAATTTATAGTTAATTGCCATTTTATAACTCGTACTTGTGAAAATTGCTTGGATAACGTCTTTAAATATGTAGTGAATTAGCTGATTAGCAGTTTCAGTGCATTATAATAATAACTATACGCAAACCCTATTTCCAGTATGGTGATGTCAAACACTCAACAGCAATTACTAAAACACAACTTTCGGTTACTATACTTAGCAATGTTACAGTAACCCTCTAGTGTATTATGTCATGGAAACTATTACTTACTGAGAATTTATACAATAAATCAGTGGAAAATCGGGAAATATGTCATTGTTACAGTTCACCAAATGTGGTGCACTATAACATTTTAAGAATATGTATACTGCATTGTGAGTTAGTCAAACTTTGTATTATCAAAATATATCAAAATAACAACTTCAACCAACTGAGACAATACAAAAATCATATTTCTATTTACAAACTTGATAGTTTAGAAACGTAAACTGTTCATGACAGCGGACAGATTAGGTCATAACAGTTTTGGACGGATTCCCACTGAGTCACTTTCGTCTCAATAGCTAAGTGTATTGACAGCACTTGATTCCTTAACTTCCTTGATTTTTTGATGACTGATCTGACTTTCCTGAACCACCTGATACCAGAGAAATTGTCAGTTTTAGAGGTGACTGGTGACGATTGACTGATCCGTTGGAATATTTGCATTCGAACTGACCAGATGCATTTGCAGAGCTCTTGTAACGAACCATGCCTCTAGACGACGACACGCGGTAATTGTCTTCTGTTTCGTCTTCTAGACGCTGCTGTTCTGCTATACGTCTAAAAATAAAGGAACTAATTTACTCATATGCAATAATTACCAAATAAAAAATGGTACCTTAGTTGGCTGAAATAACTAACAATGAGTTTGCTGAACAAATCACTGGAATATTTTTGATGTGTAACTCATGGGACTTAGAGAAAATACCGTGTATTTTTAAAAGGTTCGATTTAACGAGTATCAATGTGTACATTTCTCATAACGCTCTACTACAGTAATCCTATAGTATCCATGAGGAGAATTAATAGAAAGGTTAAAAACGAAAAATCGGTTAGAAATATCACTGCCAGAAAGGCTTCACTTACTTGTTTGCCCGTCTAGAACTGTTTCTTCCCAAACCCATACAATTAGACAAATGAGCAGCATAGCGTGTTGCAGCAACTTTGCAATTACATTTTCCACATCGACAGCAACTTGTGTTTTTGTTTGGATCCTTACTAGAACCTGAATTCGAAGTACCACTGTTATCGGGAAAATCTTGATTAGATTCGGCAGCAATAATATGAAAATATCCTAGCTTAATTGCACGATGCATTATTAGAATATCATCCATTAGACATGAATCAATTAAATCAGAGATGAATTCTTGTAGGACTTCTTGAAGGTCAGCTTTGTGAATCGAAAATGACTTTTGCATTCGGATGATGTAGAAACACAAAAATTATTATCTATTTACATACGAAAATAGAATACAAAAACATTGTTGAGAAACTTGATACATTAACTTACACACAAGTGCCAACATAATACAGTTTTGCCTACATGAAAGCTTATAGACAGTCGTGGCATCAGCTGTAAGCTATGGCAGATAGTGGAGTGCAGTGATGTGTAGATGAAGCCCATTGTTGTACTCGGAATAGAAGAAATGAGTGATGTAATAATATAGTTGAGAAGAGGCAGATACAAAAAATAGTCCGAATACTGCAGGTAAATCCGGTTGTTCTAATTGTTAATTTGATGAGGGACGAACACTGTTTTCATACATATTTTGAGAACTTGATACTGGATATTTTTAGAGTAAATTACCTGATGTTACCGAAAGTGGTTATCCGTTATTCTCATACACCTACAACTCCTCCAAGTCTCGTATTCAGTTAATATTTACGATAGTGGAATATTGGTCAGTAACCACTACTACGTGCATTCTTATGAAGATCTCAGGACTCTAGTATAACCTTAAACACTCCAGAATGTCTTGTTTAGAAAGTGTGCACTTATTTATTCAAATGGTTGTATTGATATAACAGACGCCCGAAGAGCAGTCGGTCTTGCACCTTACAATGACTCGAGTTACATTGGCTGGCTCCCGGTATTACCTAGGCAGAAAAATTATTTAGATAGTGGTTAAACTAAAAGCAGTTGCTATAATAGTGTAAGTCACTGGTACGATTTTGGAGTGCTGAGGTCAAATGGGGATGTGGCAGCACTAAGGTGTTTCCCGCAGGTGATCAACAATGCTGCCTCTTCGCACTAGGCAGAGGAGTTAGAAAAGGTCGACTCCGAAAATTGCACATCCCAATGTACCTTGCAGTAGGAAACAAGCCATCCTTGACTAATATAATATCTTAAATTCTACGACCAATAATCTTCGGTAAACTAAGCAGTGCTCGTGAAAACTAGTCAGGCGCATCGATGATACATTTATTCTTCAACAGATTGTGGAACACATGCTTAATCAAGTGTTCATGAACGGCTTATTTCTTGACATCAAGGCGGCATTTGAATATATCCACTGAGAGGTGCTGTTTACGTTTCTGGCTATGAAGGGAGTGTCGACAGGGCATACCGAACCCATTAAGGTACCATACTGAGCTATCTCTTCCCTCGTTAAGCAAAACTCATTGATTTACGACCAATTTTAAGAAGGGTTAGCAGTGATTAAGCCATAATATACAGGCAAACTATGAAGTCACTTACCCCTGACCTGATTCACACAGTAGGGTGTTAAGTGTTCGGATATAATCACTGAAGGCATAGTTTAAGACTTTCAGTAAAATAGCTCTAAATACAACACTTTTATTCACTCCCTATCTTTAACTCTAAAAAGCACTAAACTCTTCGCTTAGGTTGGTCCAATTTTGTATCGTTATACAACTGTTCTTTTTGGTGCTGTTTTCGAATTAAGAAACTTGAAGTAATGTACTTCTGTGGTAATTTACACAGTGACCCACCAATCAGTCAATTCGCTACTTAAGCGAAGATTGTATCGAGAAGTGTTCAGACTTTTGGTAATGCTTCCCGTCAAATGTTACTCTTACGCATTTTGTGAAGTCTGTATAATGCGACAACCGTTTAAGTAATATTACATTATAAAAGAAATAAAGGTTCTAGCTACTGCTAGAGGTTAGACTGCAAGTGATATGAAAAACTGGTTTGCCAGTGAAGGTCGGTGTTTAAATGAGGCAAGCTTTGTCAATTGCTTGGTAAACGTCAGACATGTTGCAGGCCCAATGTCGTTGATACCAGTTCTGCTTTCGAATGGTTAGACAACAACTCTCCTCAAAAGTCTTTAAAAAAGGATTTTGTCAGAATGTTTACCAATATTTTCTAAGACTGCAGTCGGGAACGTTCCAGATGATGCAACGACGTTTAACTCCCTATTGTCGCTGTTCCTGACCAAAAACAGGTTTGAGAATAAGTGCCTCATATAGCGTCTCTTTCCTAACACTGCTATATGTACGGATTTAAATCACTTAGATATACAGTTGGAAACCGCTTGGGGAAAATTCTATTTCCTTCGCTGTTTGATATTTCTGAAATCCATAACATATAGCATAAGGTAATCAACACACGGCTTGATTTCGTGAAGCGATGGTATAACGTGAAGCGTACGTATTAAAGTTATTACTTTATTTCACCCCATCTCCCTTGACGTGGTCACAGGTCATCATAATAACTAACTAAGACGCCACCGAGTATCGTCAGAATGAAAACAAGCAATCACTTCATTTTACTTGTACTCATATCCCATTATAGTGAAAAATAGCAAGCACTCAAAACGTGTTTCGAATTATAAAACTAAAATGTATGAGCTTACATAGGATTAATTGGGAACTGAGTAAAGTTCAAAAGGATAACGCCCACAGATAGAGAGAAAGGTGAGAAATATTAATGAAGACAGACCCTACGCATTCTACATCCTGTCCGCTACAGCCGCTCAGATATCACACAGTAGTGACCTTAAAAGAGGAGTATTAAAACAGTCCAATATCATTTTCACAAGCTAGTGTGAACAGCATGGATTTTCTTTGATCTCTTCTCGGTTGCACAGAAAAGAATCCTGGTCCTCGGTAAGCTTCTGCATAGTGTTCCCGCCATTTGGTTGATTTCAAGTGGTGCTGCAGGAATTGGTTGTATGTGATATGCGGTGGGTTAAGACCATGTCGCTTATGTGAATGCATTTGTTCCTTTCACTCGCTGGTAGTCTATGTGTGTTATATAAGATAAATATTTAAAATATAATTAGTGTTTGTTTTGTGGACTTAAAAAGAAGAGAAAACGTACTAACAGATAGATAATGAAATTTAAAATTTGAAATATATGCACTAATAATAGCAACACTTGGATAGATGGAAAGATTAGTCAGAATATTAAAATGCAGAAGAATGGGTAGCAGTGAAAGGAAAATAGGGATATGGTCCGTTTTAAAGTGTTCCCTGTATCGCAGCCTGACTGCCTAGCCTCCTCCTAAAGCGGACGATGCAGTAGCCAAGAATGCTAACAAAGGGTCTAAGGGGCGGGTGGCTCGGAGTGAAACGATATGAAAACGCACTAGATTCTTTGCTTCTTGATGCACAAGTCGTGAATTGCCACAAAGAAGACCATACCTATATAGAGAAAAAAAGTTTGTTTGGGCAACTCTGACCATTCGTAGTCTTTAAAACAACAACTGAGTTACTATCAATCCGGCAGCAGCCAAGTGTGGGAGGATTGAATTTCTTCAGCAGTTCATTATATGGTTTATTTCGGATGCCCATAATCCCTTTTTTCCCTCTTTGGACTATTTCTACGAGATTGGCATCCTTTCTGAGTAACAGGGAAGCAGCGATGTTGTTTACTTTTAATTTTGGCCCTACGAATGTATTGTTCAGCCTTAAGGTAGCCCAGGAGTGGGCGCACCTAACTGTCTGTACGTAAGGTGTATAACCGCATATGCCCTTGCTACATCACCCATGTTTTTATTTTTCCTGCTAAAACTAGGCTTCAGTCTTGTCCTCACTTTACATAGGAAGTAGCCAATATTCTGCACTATTTTGCACATTTTCGGATTGAAAGTCATGCAATTCACCAGTACCCAGTCTTCCATGGATTTAGGTCTGCCTTTAGGTTATCAGATTCCTCCGAGCACTATATCACACTCTTAATCCTTACGCTGTCATAGTGGAAAGGGCTGGACAGTTTAGATAGCAATGCAGAATAATGACAAAAATCAGAAGCACTAATATCCCTGGGACAACACCTTGTTATACCACCGATCTCCAGCTTTGCCGGGTGCGTCTGGCCTCAACTCAGGATCCCCTCTCCCTTGAGTGATCCTCCAGCCATGAGGAAGGCAGGCCATCAATTTCCACCTGACTTATTTTGTGAAGAAGAAGGTCATGCTGAATTGTATCAAGTGAGTCCGCGAGTTTGAGGGGGTCACATGGACTGGTGTGTCAATATCTCATTGTGATGCCCGATCTTTTTTAAGCAGATGATAGATTTGTCATACAGTATCTACCTCTCCATGCATCATAGAATACGTAAGTCCTAGTGAGATGAAGCCCATGATTATCCGTCAAAATTTTCAGTACTTTTGGTACCAATTGGAGAAGAGCTGCTAATTTGTAACTCCTGGAGTTTTGCCAACCTCCACTATCATTATATATGAGAAAAGATATTTTATATTTTATATAATTTTATATTTATATTTTATATTTTGATTACAGCTTGATTCCACACCGTATTTTCAGTACAAGTATGGAATTTTCAGCATGGATATCGGTAGCCCGAATTTTGCAGGCCGACCATAGATATCGGGTGTGCGCCGGCAGGGGATCGAACCCCGGAGCATGTACATGGTCGGCGGGGTTCCTAACCACTGTGCCACCGACTCACTATATTTCACTCCTATGGCCGTTTCCCTAAGTCCATAGGACAGATCACATGACTGCATGTAGAGAACTTCTGCGTACTGTCCCAGAACGGATGAGTGAGTGTCGCTACAACCAGGATCTTTTCACTGGTGAGTTATTGCAGCTTCTGTAATACCACTGCGTGGGTTAATCTGGAATGCACCAAATCGGTAAGTTTTTAGTGCGATCCTTAAGACCTGTAATGGTAATACTTACAGTGCTATTTAGCTATCTGTCAAAGTCCGAAGTGAATAATTTAGCCACTCTAAAGCTGGATATATGTTAACCACTGGGATCTCTCAAGGTTTTCTTCCTGTCATGAATCGGCCCCTACTTCTGGGGTTTCCAGGAGTTTTCCGTTAAGATTTGCCTGAAATGTCACCTCGCTACTCCTGGCCAATGCATTGATTCGGTAGCTGAGAAAGGTTTGATTCTTGCGGCGTCCCCATGTAGACCAATTTTTCTACTTTGCTTCCAGAATGCGATGCGCGTCCGCGTCGGCCATATGACTAGAGGGAAGCTGTCTGAGACTGCTGTGTGAATGATCACTTTTGTCATTTCTACATGTTTCTCTACTCACAAGCTAGTTAAGTCTGCGAACTATTCAGCTTCAGACAAGAGTCTTCGCATTGTGATACAACTAGGTTCGGTATAGCGCATGCATGGTCGTCTGGTGTCCCAGCGTAAGCACACGCGAAAAACCGGATTAAACCATAAGACCGGATAGTTACCGTCACTGACAGGAGTTATGACTTGATCGTTTTCACCAGTAACTGGTCACTGTTTAGGATATGGTTCAGTTTTGGTGACCTTTCGCTAGGACTCCACCTAGTGTCGTCTCCAGCCTTCTCAGACAATCTTGCATTTCTAGTGATATATAAGAAATTTTGACAGAATTTCCACAGAGCACAACCCAACACAAAGTCAGGAGATAGATTATTAAAGTCTCCAGCTGCAGCAACTTGGACATAGCCGAAGTCCTATGTCCCCGTGATGGTTCTGAACAGCAGCTGGTTATGTTTTGCTCCAAAGGAGGGTAACCGGTTGATAGCACTTAGTAAATGCTTGGTGTTACCGGAACGTTTAACTGAGCACGTGGTCGGAACAGTGAATTAGATGCTTGTTCGGTGTTAAGTTAAAGTTCTCTATAAGTCGATAACGTATACAACGTATCAGGTGGTCACAGACCACTGAAAGAAGTGCTGGAAAATGTGCCCTCTCCGTTCCTCGTGGTATTTAAAACTGATGCTTATGATATGTGAACCTTACGTCACCGTACTATTTGTTTCCAAATTGCGCAATTAAATATTTTCTCACTAATTTAATAATTCCTATTGTAGCATTAAGAACACAATATTCAGCGAAGAGGCTCTTTTCAACGAATTTATTATCAAGCTGTACAATCGTATATATATGGTTTTTTATAAAAATTATATCCGGTGAAGGAATTAGGACAAGGGTGTGAATACATGAAATAATAATAGTATGAAAGGCAATTAAAATATTTGTGATCATAATCATAGTTTAATGTCAAGTGGCAAAATAAAACATTAAACTAAGATTATAATCACAAATATTTTAATCGCGTTTCATACTATTATTATTTCATGTATTCACACCCTTGACCTAATTCCCTCACCGGATATAATTTTTATAAAAAACCATATATATACGATTGTACAGCTTGATAATAAATTCGTTGAAAAGAGTCTCTTCGTTGAATATTGTGTTCTTAATTAAATATTTACATATTTCCTGATTGAAATAATATTTTTTCACTGCACGAATCGTTCCTATTAATGTTAGTCCCTTATTATTACATCATTTGTTTTGCAACCTGCGTTACGTAGTCGTAGGCTGGAATGAAAATGATTCTATACAAAATAAAACACAGTGTATTTTATAGTCTGACATGACAGTAATTAGGAATCGAAATGATCAATCTGAGTGTTACATTCAATATTGTGATCATAATCACCAAAGTTGCATTCTGTCAGTCATTTGGCATTTTGTGAAAAATTAGACCGTCTGTGGTCCATTGTATTCTTGAACATGTTTATTTGAATATACAATGTTGTTAAGTGCGAGCGATTTTATGTTTTTATTTTCAGATTTGAAGGTCTCTTCCATGATTATCTGTCACATTTTATTTAATAACACAACTTTATTATTTTGTAACAATTTGGTTTGGATTTGGATTTCAGACGAGGACTGAGAATACGTTTCTTTAGGAAGTCATATAGGGGCTGTAAAAGCTAAATTCCTAAAGTCTCAAGACAAAATCACAGACAGTTAACAAAAATATGCATTCAAACACGAGATTTACTGTGGCTTAAAAGGCGCAGTACTAGAAGTCAGACTCAGTTTCTTAATGAATACATCTACAAACGGAACTATCCGTTATCATTCCAATTCAGAAGAAAAGGGGAATCTGATAACAAAATTCCATTTTAGACGTCCCAGGGGAGCGAAAAACTACAAATGTACAGGAAAACAGCTCATACAGGTCAAATGCTCAATTACGAATTCAACAGCACAATAGCACGCAAAAGAGTTAAACGCACTTCTGCCTTGGCGAGAATAGAAGAAAGATATATTTTGATCCTCTTTTAGTAGGATGGATATTCACGAAACTGCGGGAGGTCAAACAGTTCGTCGAATCAACCGGACCTTCAAAAATCAGTTTTACTTATCTGTGTAGATTGAGACACGTTGTGGACTGTTGGAATTTCAAGCGACAAGAGTCCAGCAGCGACGTTGTGGTGTGATTTTGTGTCTCTGTAGTCCATTCATATCTTCTTTGATTAGCATATCTTTGAGCTCCTTCAAGCATTATATTCCCGCTTCACTTCTCAGGGGCGGTGTTAAGAACAGCCTGGCCACGAAGTTAGGTAGGCCAGGCCTAAGCTTCAGAAGGTGGTGCGGAGAGAATTCGGGTCTAGCAGGACAGGTGGTCACACAGCGAATACGGGTGTTACTTTTAGTCAACTGGAAGCGTGATCGAAGTTGTTCAAGTTTCCTAAAAAACCTGTTTCCTAGAAAACCTCGTCCAAATATGAAGCACAT